TTGGGCAGGGCTAGGCTGCAATACCCACTAGCAAAAGTTGGGATTGGAGGCTGGCGGTGCCAGGCCAGACTACAGTATCCAATGGCAAAGGCCAAGATGGGAGAAGGGGTATTATGGACTGGGTGAGAGCAATCACCAAAAAGCACACAATCTGTGTTTGTGAGTGGCCTGGTAGGGGAGCTAAGGGGATATCCAAGCTGGACTGTGGTTCCTGCTGGTGAGTATAAGAGCCAGAATGGGAGTGATGAACTGGGATAAACATGGCTGTAGCATCCCTTGACATGAATGTGGACTGGATCTGTGGTGTACCAAACTTGGTTAGGCTCCAGCACCTGCTGGTGTTCACAAGAGCCAGAGTGTGGAGGACATGCTGGGGGCTAAGTCTTGGTACCCACTGAGCAATGTGAGAGCCAGGTCTGGGACTGAGTCAGGCAGGGCTGTAGCATAAAATGGTTAGAGCCAGAATGGGTGCGGGCCTGTCAGGCAAGGACGCTGTACCTGCCAGTGAATGCCACAACAGAAAGTGAGCCATGTCAGGCTGCAGTAAGCACCCACTGGTGTGCATGAGATCTACAACTGGAGGTAGCCACACAGCAGAGATTAGGGAACTCCTTTTGTCAGGCACTATATCTGCTGGTGAGCACAAGAACTGAGGCTGGGAGCAACCCAGACCAGGCCAGGTCATAGCAAATATGTGGGTCAGATTCGGGGATAGGCCAGGTTAGGCCAGTTCATAATACCAACTGGCATATGTGAGAACCAGGACAGGGTGTGGGACAGGGTGGGTTGGGTCACACCACTAGCCACTATACATTGGGGCTGGGAGTGGGGACTGACTGGGCTGTGCTACACTGCTGCACATGCCAACATGAGCTGGAACTTGGGGTAGGCCAGGCCAAGTTAGGTTGCAATACCCTCTGGTGAATGCCTAAGTGAGGTGGGCCAAGCCAAACTGGGCTGCAGCACCCAACAGAACACGTAAGACCTAGAGGAGGGGTGGTGAGCCCAGGATGGGGGCTGTACTGTGGGGGTTCCCCTGCAGGGCCATGGCTCCTGCTGATGAATGTGAAAGCTGGGATAGGAGCAGACCAGACTGGTCAGGACTATAAAACCTATTGGCTTGCATTCAAGCTGGTTTAGAGGGAGAACCAGGCTGGGCTAAATGACCATATCCACTGATGTACACATGAACCAGAGTAAGTGCAGCCTGGTCAGGTTTTGCCACAGCATTAGCTGGCAAGTGAGTGCTAGGACTGGGGGCAAATCCTATTGGGCAGGACTGCAGTACTGCCTGGAAAGTCCAAGATCCAGAACTGGGAGATGACCTAGTAGGGAAACTGTGGGCATCCTTGATGGGCTGCAGCTCCCACCAGTGAGCATGAGAACCAGGGCTTGAGACAGGCCTGGTTGGACAGGTGGTAGCATCAGCTGGCATAAGTGTGGGCTGGATAATGAGGTTGGTCGGACAGAGCTAGGCTGCAGCACCCACTGGTATGTGTGAAAACCAAACAGGATGTCATTAAGACATACTGGATCAGTCTGTTGCACACAAGAGCATGTGCAGGAATCGGGGCTGGGGGCAGGCCTGGTGGGGGCTATTGGGGATTGCTCTGACTAGGCTGAAGTTTCCAATGGTGTGTGTGAAGATTGTGTGTGGGCAGGGTTTGGCTGGGCCACGGCATCTGTTCCTTTGTCTATGAGATGGGGCTGGGGACAGAAATGAGCTGGCACACATAGGAGTCAGGTCTGGAGAAAGCTTGGGTGAGGTTTCTTTGAGGACTCCCGCAACTGGACCACTGGCCTTAAAACTTCAACCACAAGGAAAATCACAGGATCTGTGGTCTGACTGTGGAATACAAGTGTCAAAATGAACCTCCTCGGTTGCTGAAGCCTGTGCACTGACAGCATGCCCAGATGCACCTGGGGATCATGGAGGCCTACAGAGGATGTCTAATACTATGGCATAGGATGGAGGGCAGAACAAATTAGACAACTCTCCCAGCCAAGCTTTGACACCAAGTATCAGAGAAGAGTGGAGACTCTATGTCAGCCAATGGACCTTGGAAGAAGTTCCTCAACCTTGGAGCAATAAAATCAACAGCATCTCAGAACTATCACAATCATTTCAGCAGTACCCCCGGAACACGTGCCACTTCAATGACCCTAGCTTGACACTGAGTAGCCATCCCTCATCCTCAGGTACAGGTGTGGTTAGCCTGCTGGAAATGGCCCTCTCCTGTCTCTCCCCCCAGAAACAGGAAGAAAAAAAAAAGATTGGAAGCAACTGTCTCATCCAATTTCCCCCATTCCTTGGCCCATGCCACCCTGATCAGTGGTCTACATGGATGTACATCCTTCTCAACTGTGTAAACATAATCAAAAATAAAATAAATTTCTTTAAAAAAAAGGAAGTCACAAACATCTGAAGCTTCAGGATGTGTGTATGTGTATTCATATACATAAAGACCCATGACATTACAGTGAAAGGCAAACCACACAGATGATGGTGGTCCCATGCAATTATAATGGAGCTAAAAATGCCTGACACCTAGTGACATCATAGCTGTCTACTGTAGTGCAATTCATGCTCATGCTGGTGTCAGTTACATTGCCAGCTGAGTCAAGGTACAGACACACAATCAGGTACAGTATACACTGCTTGATAATAAAGGACTATGTTACTGAATTATGTATTTATGTATCTTTACTGCTATTTCAGAGGTAACTCCTACTTACAAAAATTTTTACTGTAAAACAGCATGCATTCAGGCAGTAGCTGCAGACATCTGATGTGTTCTGTGTCTCTTGGCTGGCACAAGAGGCCTTGGCCTACTGTGTAGGTTCATTGTCAGGACTCGCTGTGATGTTCACACAATGACAAATTACCCCCGTGTTTCTCAGAATGCATCCCTATTGTTAAGCAACACATGAACATACAGCAACTAGTACACAGAGTATAGATTTGTAAGACTTCTTTCAGTCAGCAGAATTTCCTTGCGATTTATTACAGCAGTATATCAATAATCCATTTCTCTTTATTGCCATGTTTTTCCACAGTGGATGTGCAGCACAGCTTATTTAACCATTCATCTGCTGAGGAAAGTTTGGGTTGTTCCCAGTGTGGCCTACTGTGAATAAAACTGCTCAATTCTGGCACCTGGTTCACAGATGCTAGACACACTGGTGTGCAGGTTTCTGTGTGAACATGAGTTTTCATTTATCTGGGATAAATAATCTGGAATGCAACTAGTGGGTGACAGAGCAAGTGAAAATTTAATTTTATAACAAATTTCTGAACTATTTTCCAAGTGGCTGAACCACCTCACCCCACTACCAGCCATGTATAAGAGGTCTGGTTTTGCCCCACATGGCTTTGATGTTCTGTTTTTGGCTTCAGTCATTTTGAATGTTGTGGAATGATAACTTGCAGTTTTAATTTGTATTTATCTAATGGCTATTGGAGCTGAACATTTCTCCATATAGTTACTTGCCATATATATTTATATCCTCTTTTGTGAGGGTCTTCTATCTTATTTACTATTGAATTCTGAGAGTTCATATGTTAATATAACAAATTCTTTGTACATTCTTGTACATTAATTATATACATATCTAGAAAAAATGATTCAAAGTGACCCAAATAGAAAGAGATAATCCAAAACCCTGTAACTACTAATGAAGTTGAGTCCTGAAATAAAATATTAGAATCAGATGATTTTAAGTACTCTTATTCCAATCTTAGTCTTTCAGAATATGAAAAGCAGAAACCTTTCTCAAATTATGATCAGTAAAGGTTAATTAAATCTTGATATCAAAACTACACCAAGGACAAAGAGGAAAACTGTTAGACATTTTTGTTCATGAAACAGATATCAAAATTCTAGTCTAGCTGTTAGCAAGTCAAATCCAACAATCTGTAAAGTTAGGAAACAGCATATTAGGCCTAGGCTGGCTTTATCCCAAGAATCCAAATAATTTTTCAGACCCTCACTGGGTTGGCCAAAGTATTAGAAGTAGATGGAATTACTATGGAACCCATACAAAAGTAGACAAGATCTGAATCCCAGACAATCCCAGAGTTTAAGAAGGGGCCTTTTCTAAAATGTCTGGCCAGACAATCAGGAAAAGGATGGACCATGAAGGCAGGTGTGATTCGTCATGAAGAATTGGGTCCCACAGGGCAGTTTCTAGATATGCTGAGTGAAGAAGGGAATGTGCAGGAGCTGAGGCGGGCAAACTAGAAGGATAAAATCACAGGCCATCTAGATTGGAAAAGGAGACAGTAGGGTGTGAAAAACTGCAACAGTTTCCATCCTCCACATTCCAGAAAGAAAAGGATCAATAGGCATTTAGTCCTAGTCCAAAACATGAAGACAAAACCACCAGAATTAAGTTCCAATCCCACTCTAAGCAGTCAGGGCTGACTTGCTTTGGAAGTTAATTGTGCTTCTGCAGGTCAACATACACCAACAGCCCAGTCCCGTCACCACTTTCATGGCCACCACAGTCACCTATCCCTGGCCCCCACACAAATTGAGGAGATGAGAAGTGTTGAGTCAATGCCTACCAGAGGACAGGAGTATAAAACCTTCAAATGGGGCTGTGAGTTTCCCTGGGAATGGAGGACAGGGGAATGCTGATGAGAATGCAGGCTGCAGTAGAGAGCATGAATCGCATAAGCAGCAGCCTTCCAGTTCACATACAGAGAACCTGAAGCAGAGATGCTCCATGATTTATACAGGAGCCAGAAACCAAACCTTTTAGTCACCAAATTTGCTATATGCCAATGTGCTTTCAAAAAAAAAACTTAGCAATTTCCTTCAGAAGTAGTTCTTTCTTTACAGTATTCATATACTCAGCTCTTCCTTGCTACTCAACATTACAAAGGCAAAGCAGCTTTACGCATTTCATTAGCTACAAGTTCCAATTTAGTGAATAAAGACTTCTCTAAAGAGATGCCACCATCTGTGCAGGTATGAGACTAATAAAGCATTTCCTACCTGAATTTTGATGGGCCAGGTGAAATTACTGACATAAACAAAGAAAGTGATATTTGGGTGGTTGCGAAAATCAAACTTCTCATTTGAGAAGCTATCTTTGTACTCCTTAATGTTGGTTTTTGAAACAACAGGCATCTCTTCTCCAGCCTGGGTTCCAGCTGTTAGGAAGGAAAGAACGAAATAATTAACATTTACTGAGCAAGCCATGACGTCCTAGGAGCAGCCTTTAAGAACTCAGCAACTCCCTAACTGACCTCATTTACAGGCAAGGATACTTGAGGTGCAGAGAAACTAAGTAATCCACCTCAGGTCACATGGCCAGCAAGAGATGGAGTTGGAACCTGAAGTTGGGCTGGTTGATAAGACAAGCCTGTGCCCTTGACCAGACTGTTTTATCAGGAACATCTACAACTTTACTCTGCTCTAAAATATCCAACATGGCCATGAAACTAGATACTACAGGAATCTCATTAACAACAGTGGCAATTACCTTGTAACATTTGAATTCCTCTTCATTCCCCTTTATACTGGTTGACAATGCTCTAGACTCCCTCACAAGGGACAACAACTCACTCCTCATTTCCTAACCAACAGTGGCCTCAAACCCACTGGTAGCAAGGTGGAAGGGATTCTTCAAGCTGCCCAATCTGGAGTAACTCCTTCCTACTCCCAGACAGTCCTACAGTGTTTCACTCTACTGCAGCTGGGAACTCCAGTTTCAATAAAGATCATGAAATGGACTTTGGCCCTCGTCTGAGCGCTCAGTGACAAATCTTCATTGAGACAGTCACTGCACATCTCTCCTGGGGTCAGAGATGCTGCCTTTTTCCAGACAGCTACTCTCACAATTCAGATTCACAATTCTCTTCACTGCAAGTTCCTGAATATATTTTAAATGCTGCACAATCTTTAAGCTATGATAAACAAAGCAGCATGCAAAAGTAGTGGTTTGTGCTCTGACAAAAACAAAACTACTGTAGCAGTAAAAATGATCATGATACATGGTTAACATTTAGTGACAATTTAGCTTCAAGAATTGCTTTGAGTCCTCCTTTTTTATCTCACTTAATGCACCCAACACTCTACAGAAAGAGCTGCTTTCCTACCTCACTCACACATGAGTAAATTGATTCAGAAAGCACACGTATCTTGGCTCAGCAGCACATGTGATGCAGGTAAGCTAGGGGCAGAATGGAAATCCAGGTCTGACCACCCAGTAACCAAGTTATGCAATGGTTACCTGCATTAACCTTCATTCAGATTTTCTGCCCAGTGTGTATTTAGAGGATCACAGCAAGAAAAACAAGACAGAAAATTGTGTACTTTGGGGGCTTTATCTTATTTCCAAGATATTTTTCTCTTTATCTATAAAATTTGTTTATTTAAAATGTTCTCCTCTCTTGAAACTACAATCATTTGGATTTTTTCTCCTGAAACATAGATGTGAAGGATGATGGCAGAGGAGAGTCAGTGAAAACAATCTGAGCCAGATGCTGGAGAGCCTTGGTAAATATAACCTAATTTAATGTATACTATGATATCACTTTCTAGAAGACTAATTCCTGAGAGGGTATTACACACTTGCTCAAGGTCTCACAGTAGGTTCAATGACAAAGGTGGGTTTCCAGCCTGTCTGTCTCTCACCAGAGCACTCCTTTCCCTGTTCTTACATAAAATTTCTTGCCCATCACCTCCACCTGGGAGGTGTTCCCTAGGTGAATATTTACCTGAGAAGCTGGCAGCCCAGGTGATGTTGAGGTTGAAGTTTTTAGAGGCATTGATGAACATGTCCAAATCCCTGTTTTGCTGATGAAAGAAAAATATGGAAATGAGCTATTTCCAGATTTTAAAAGGTAAAAGAATAGCTAAATTTAAAATGTTCTAAAAGTCTTGAGGCATTTTGTAACCAAAAATTTTTTACAATTTATGCAATATACTCACTAAACAAAATTTCCTTTTCTTTCCTATATCTAACTCCATTAAAGAAACACCATTTCTTTTAAATAATGTTTTATTTGAAAGGTGGAGTGACATTGAGAGGCAGATTATATTTATTTATATTTATATTTATTTATAATTTAAACTCATGCACTTCTGAATTTATGGATTATCTGAATTCAGTGTAAATTTCTCCCAAACCAGAAATGGTTTTAAAAAATGCATATAAAGGAGGACTGCACTATAAAGCCAGTAAAGCTGCTGCCTGCAGCAATGGCATCCCACATGAGTTCCAATCTCACTTGCCTTCCAGCTCCCTGCTAGTGGGCCTGAGAAAGCAGTGCAGGGTTGCCCAAGCACTGGGGCCCCTGCACTGGTGTGGGAGACCCAAAGCAAGCTCCATGCTCCTGAATCCGTTTCTTGGTTTTAGCAGCTGAAAAAAATAGCTCTGACAAAACCACTGAGCCAAATAAAAGAATACTATGGTAAGTAATTAACAACACTGAGTTTAAATTTTCACTGAAATTTGACTAGTAAATCTCTTCCATGAGATCAATTAATTATTTCTGCAAATTAACCAGATGCTGTATTTTATATTTAACAAAAGGATTTAACCATGTGCAGATTCATCACTTTAAAGGTCTTAAAACAGGTTAGAAGATCGAGATTTTGGAGGCTGGTACTGTGGTACAGTGGGTTAAGCCACCACCTAGTTAGAAGATTAAAGTGTTTGGAACAATTTTAGACAGTGCTTTTAACAATTTAAGTGGATTCTGGCCAACTTCATGATGGATCCAATTAACTCTTTGCTGTTTTACTTTCTAACGAGGCCAAGAATCATTCTAGGAACTGTAGTGTCATCTCTTCTGCCTCCCCACAGTAATATTAGTCAGCAGTTTCTCGGCAAATGCTCTAAGCCTCTGCTCAGTTTCTGTAACATTTTAAATCTGGGTTTGGTCATTTGCCATCTGAAGGTGGAGCTTCACTTCTCTCCTTCACACAGGGCTGCGAAGGGCTGGCAGGTAAACCACATATGTGTGTAAACAGCGTCAGATCCTGGTCAGTCTTATTTTTAATATTATTTTCCCCTGGCTGATGGAAAAGATATTCACTCTAACAATGTTTTCCTGCACCTCTGAAGATCATCTTGGACTCTTCTCTGGAGACCTCTGCCAAGGTATGGCTTCCAGCCGTAATGATCAAGAAAGATATGTACACACTGAAAACAAACAGAAAAGCTTGAAAAAAAGCTTACCTCATCAGGAGTAGCCACAAAATTGATGGCTGTGTAATAGCGGTCATCTTCCTGGGACAGGCTAAACGTGAACTGATAGTCAATAAGAAGAGTATCTATAGAGTGAAAGAAATGTATATTTTAAAAAGAAAACCAAACAAAATACACAAGTTTCTAGACACACAGACCACTAACTTCATAAACGTAACAAGCCAAGCACCACCTGTAAGCATTCTGTCAAAGCCAATCAGGTTTGATTTGGGTTAACCCACTATACCCTCTGTAGATTATGACTCTAGCTGAGATTTTTGGCCCCAACTTCCCCCACAATTATTGACCAAACATCTATTAAATGCTAGGTTTTGTTTAAGGACACAGATGTAAATTAATGATGTAACAGAAACCAGGACTCCACCGAAAAATGTCTGATTATCAGGTCTGAGGCAAGGAATGTATTCCTTGGTTATTTTATTTCAGAGAAGAAGAAAGTACCTAAAGACTAACGTGATGTGGCAAAAGAACATAGCTTTCAAGAGAGCTTACTGGCCAAGGCTGCTACGATTTAACTTTAAAAAGCATATTGCACAATTTAACAATAACAACAATACTTCAATAAAAAATAAGCAAAGAATTTTAACAGACTTTTCTATAAGAATTATGTACAATGGACAATTATTATCAGGGATATGCAAATTAAAGCCACAATGAAATAGCATTTCATATCCATCAGAAAGGTTATAAAAAAGCCCAAAGAAAATGCTAAGTACTGGTGAGAATAAGGAAATCTGTGGCAATGTAAAATGGTCCCACTGTTACAGAAAGTAGCATGATAGGTTCTTCAACAAAATTAAAAACTAGTTACAAGAATACAATGATTACGTGATTCCACATAGATGAAGCACCTAGGTTAGTCAAATCCATAGAAACAGAAAACAGAATGGTTGTCGCCAGGGTTGCTGGGACAGAAATGGGGAGTTGCGAAGTTTATTTTTAACCATCTAAGAAACCGCAAATGGTTTTTCAAAGGGTGACAGCATCTCACACTTCCATGAGCAATGCAATAAAGGTTCCAGGTTCTCAGCACCCTTTCTAAAACGTGGCGGTGTCTTTTTGTTAGACGAGATAAACAGAATTTAATAGGCTCAAGTACAAATATTCACTGATGTACTTTCTGCTTCCACATTTCAAATAACCTATAACAAATGTACAGCTGTACAATTCTGCTATATCAAAGGCTAATATTCATAACTACCTGAAGAGGTTGAATAGTCTTTTTTGTTTTAATAAACCTCTACCCTGGCCCAACCATACGTATGGTGAGGCCAACTGTGTGTTTGTGTGTGTGTGTGTGTGTGTGTGTGTGTGTGCGTGTGTGTGTGTGTATAAAGAGACAAATTGGAAAAGACTGAAAGGATAAATGGACATGAGATTATAGCTATCTTCTATAAAGTTCTGGTGTTACCTTTTCATCCTAGTCATTTCCAGGGCTCCGTATTACTATAGTTTTGATGTGCTAATCCCTAATAACTCATGATGCTAAATATTTTTTAATGTGTTTACTGGCCATTCATACCTCTTCTTTGTTGAAATATCTATTCAAATCTTTCCCTGTTCTTACTTGAAATTTTTTTTAATGAAGGTTCTTTATAAATTCCATATATAAAGTCTTGATCAAATATGATGCATAATTCTTTTGTCTATTCTGTGGGTTTTGTTTTTATAATCTTTCATTTAATTTTTTATTTTTAATATTATTTTAGTTATTTGAAAGGCAGAGTTACAGAGGGAAATGGACAGAGAAAGAGTTTTCCATTTATTGATTCTCTCTCCAAATGGCAGCAAATGGTCACAGCTGAGCCAGGCTAACGTCAGGAGGCTGAAATTCCATTTAGGTCTTCTATATGGATGGCAGGGGCTCAAAATTTGGGCCACAGGTTGCTGCTTCTCAGTCCCATTAGCAGTGAGCTGGACTGGAAGTGGAGCAGCAGTGACTCAAACCAATGCTCATACAGGATGCTGCCATTATACAAGGGTGGCATAATCTGCTGCATCAAACACTGACTCCAAATTTCATTTTCAAAATATAGGTTTTAAATTTTGATAAAATCTCATCAATTAACTTTTCACTTAGAATTGTGCTTTTGGTATCACATTTGAGAACTCTTTTTAGCTACCTAAGAAGTTTTCCTCCAAAACTTTTTACCCATAAAGTCATACTCATAGGTTCTAGGTAGACTTGACTTGTGAGGATGCCATCTAATCCAATACAAGTGACATATAATTACATTACATTATTAATAACATTAACTCCTCTTCTCTAGCTCCACAATCTGGCCTACCATATGGCTCCTCCTACAGGAGACAGACATTTACCCATAATGACCTAGTCACCTTGCTATAATAATTTTGTACTTTACTTTATATATACATTTTTAAAGAGATAGCTAACAGAAATCAGTTGCAGAGAGAAAAATAACAAATTTTCAAAAATTCGACTTTTCTTCTATATCCTGAAATAGAAAATATGATGAACCCCAACAAATGGCAAATAAAGTAAGATTTCAAGGGAATTCAAACAAGGACAGCCAGAGGCACATACTTCTGTGCTTTATCCTGCCCTCTGCAATGGACACACTAACACAAACCAAGACTGCAACTAACACAGCTTAAAACAGTGTTCGTGAATGTAGTGGCTGTCACAGAAGACGAGCACACCAAGTCTGGGACACTTCTGTGAGTGGTTCCTACAGATTCCGATATCAATTGGCCATTTTCAAATCACATTAATGAAAACAATGAAGTCACACTCAACCACTGTGCTTTTAGAAGCAAGCAAAGCCAAGACACTTACAGTAACACGTTCCCTTAAGGGGGTTTCCCTGGTATCGGTTTTCTACCTCACACCTACAGGGAAGAAATAAAGATTATTTTCTATTTAAAGCAGAATCAATGTTCATTTTAAAATCAAGCAGATATTTTAATATAAACTACAAATACTTTCTTAGTCATGATAATTACATGTTTCACTATTATTCAGATCAGAGGGCCTAACAAGAGTTCATAAGGATTCTTAAATGCTAATTGCCTGGCAGTTCATATCACCAAGTTACAACTGACAACAACTGCCAAGGCACATGACATAAAATCAAATGCAAGAAATCTAAATCCTATTTACCAAAAATATATTTTTGCTCTTGTGTGGATTACATATTCTTCTAAAAATGCAGTTAAAAATTCATTTTTTCAAATATTCATTTCTTACTTCCTTCCTATTCTCTCTGGATAAACTGACCCCATTCTTTAAATAGAAGTGAGAGAAAACTAAATATCACAAATCACTTCAAACAACACAAAAGCAAAAGCAAAAACAAAACAAAAAAACTCCTGAACTAGTCTGAAGAAAAAAATAACCTCCACTCAAAAAGATTCATGAATTTCCTCATAGATGTTCATCTGTATATATCAGCAAAATCCAGTCTCCCAGTTCACAAAACCGTCTAGGCAAGCCCAACAGCCATGAACTAGAAGAGGAAGAGAAAGGTGAGGGGAGAGGGGACACTGTGTCCTTTCATCTAGGATGACAAGGGTCCCCACTTCTAGCTAGTCTCTAGATAAGACTGGAAGGTCTCTCACTAGAGGTCACTGCATGTCTTTAAGACGTACCCTAACTGATGGTAAGAGGTTTGCTTTTGCTCTATCACATTTTTGTGTAAAAGGACCTGGATCCAAAATTTAATCATTGATTAGACTTTTCTTCATATATCAGCTGTAAGGCAGCATGAGACTAGTAAACATGTATGCTGATGAAAGCTATAAAACGTCACAAACCTATTATTTGCTGAACACTCCTACCAATGACTCAGTCACTGGTGACATTTTTTTTTCCCATTGTTCTTTAAGGAAAATAACATTTACCAATGCCATATGTGCTTCTCTCAGTTTAATGTTTTAATATGAACCACTACTTAAATCTACTCCTGAGAGAATGAATAAAACTGGTTACAAGTGTTTTATGAAGTTTTCCAGTTAATATCTCATGTTTCAACTCACCAAGACACCAAACACAGGCATTGCTACCCCTCATAGATTGTGAGGAAAGTGAAGCGAGTGCAGTTCAGCTATTTGCCTCAAGAGCATCTTGCTCAGTGGAGGCACGGCTGGGTCTGAGCCCCAAGTCTGCCTGACATCTGCATTCTCAAACCCTCCCCTGGGAGATGTTGAACACCTTTCACCAAGGACAATGCTGGAGCAGGAGGGATGTGTTAAAGGCAAGAGAACCATCTCTCGTACTAGTCTAACAAAACATGAAATAAATAAGTACCGTTACTGGACACCATCTCTCTCAATTAGCTTTTGGGTACGAGTGCGATCTCCTGCTATGTCAAGCCTTGAATAACTTCAAGTCAAAGCAACAAATTCAAATGACCCATCCAGAAAATGTCTGTGTCAATAGTAAAAACTGCTACCCTGACAATCTTCTGGGGTTGGAAGGTGACCTGTGTTAAGCAGAAAGGGTGAAATTTCAACCGGATCAACTTGGGGATCCCTAAGCACCCACAGGAACGAGGTATGAGGAGAGGATAGCTCCCGGGGTAGCCATCTGGCAACTACCCAGCCCTCAGTCTTCAATCCTCACTGGTGGGAACGAAGCACGCTACTCACAGCTGGCACTCATCCCCTTTGACGCCCTTGGTGGTACAGAAGCACTTGCCCGTGTTGGTGTTACACAGTGACGCATGTCCGTTGCACTTGCATGCTGGGGAGAAAGAAACAGAATGGAAACCACACTTGGCTTTAACAGACATTGACAAAAGCAATTTCATCTGAATTGGGTTTAATAGGAAAAGCAAACTAAACTAAGACATTTACATGAGTAGGATTCACTATTTTTCAGCTAATAACTTATCTCTAATAATTTAAGGGCAATACTCTGGGAAGCAAGGTCAAAGGACTGGAGGAAAAAGAATGCTGATTCCTAGGGCCAACTGAAGCAATCACTACTGCTCTTTCTGATAGTCTCTGTCACTTGATGATTTTTTCTTCCCTTCCATAAACATGAATGCAGCTCTCTAGTAAGCCAGGTACTGGATCAGGGTACAAACTGGCTTCTGCTGCCTGAGCTGAGTGGACCTCATCACAGCCATGTTTTGAGCCCCACCAGGGCCCCTGCCAGCATGGGGTTCCCTAGGAAGCCCATTAGCACTCAGCTTTGCCTCGTCCACCCATTGGCTTTACAGAAAATGACTCTCCTTTCTCCTTCCTCTCACCACCTCATCATATCTCTACCTTTCTCACCCAGTATGAGCTATAACAAATTCCACAATCCAGTTGGAATAAATTAAGACTTCTTGTGCTCAATATTTTTCACTTTATACCCTGTTTTTCTGTGAATAGATAAAAGTTATTAGACTGGAGAGAGGTATATATATATAAAAATAAGCCTGCTGGGGGTGGGGAAACATCTCCAAAGAACTCTGAAAGAACAGTGCAGGGAAGAACAGAATGGATGCCTGATTCAGAAGCAGAAATGTTCCAGGTTCGAGGAGTGCTAGGGTGGGGTGGAGTGTGGTTTGGTTTACTGGTGAAAAGGAGAGGCTTGAAGTTTGGGGTTGAATCTTAGCTTGTCTGTACCTTGGGCCCACTACTTGTTTCCTTGTCCATATGATGCAGATAACAACAGTACTGATCTCACAGAGTCATTCTGAAGATTAAATGAAGTCATATATGTATGATACCTGAAACGCTGTAAGCATCCAACAAACCCTGGCTATTATCCTCAGCTAAGGACTATGCAATTGTAAGGGGAAAATATTCAAGACTTAATGCCATTCAGTATTTTTAAAACTATGCTTCCTATTATGGATTGGGTCTATGAAACATAAAGCAAGTTCTACATCATGAACAACTGTACTCACTCGATATCACAGAGGACAATTTGATTATCCTGGATAGCATGTACTACATGTGGTTCCAGATTGACCACATCCCAATGTGAAACCTGGGACAGGTAACTTCATCTGGTGGATGATCGCTATTAATACACTTGGTTAGGACTCAGTATGCTACTTGTCTTATCCCCATCTAATAGGTAGAGTTTACTTATAAGGAGTGGGAAAACACTTTTACTGAACACAGTTTAATCCAAGTCAGACATTTTATTTGAGTAATGGGGAATGGCACTACAAAAGGTAATGTTGATTGTCCATAATTGCATGGTTCTGTGCCAGGGAAAGCTCTGATGGCTTTAACCTCAGTGACAACTCTGCCAATCACATTTCACAGAGGAAGAAACAAAATTCCAGAGAGGTTAAGGGACACAGAGCTTGAACAGCTCCACTCTTTCATGATCGGGGATCAAATCCTCGGCTAAGTTAAGGAGTCTGGAAGCAGAATTTGAGAAGTACAGACTTCCTTTCTTTTTTATTTTTCCTACTCAGAAATTCAAGGTCTTTCAATCAGAGATTAAAATTGAAGTAATGAAAACAAAATCGGTTCACTGATGTCATCATATTAAGAATAATGTCAACTTCCATTTCTGTCTTTTATATATGTATGTATATATGTATATATGTATATATGTATTTATATATGTATATATATGTGTATATATATATATATATATATATATGAGTTCCCATATGCTAATTCATTCTTCAACTGCTCACAACAGCCAGCACTGGGCTAGACAAAGTCAGGAGCCAGATCAGGTTAGCTCCAAGCTGCGTAAGGAACCTGTTGCTTTGCAAATATCTGAAGTTATACAGATAATGAGGCACACAGTGGAACCCACAGAGCATGAAGCTGGTGTGGCCACAGTCAGGGAGCACAGAGCCACAGGAACCTCCTCCAAACACAGTGATGACAGGGTGAGTCATGATGACAGAAGCAGGAAGTAGCTGAGTTCTGGGAGAGCAGTGCAGGACAGAGAAGCAGATTTATGGGATGACAACCAGAGATCCAGACCATTTCTGATCATCCAGTAGACAGTAAAGCTGACTCCCTGGATGTGAAGGAACCCAAAGAAGAAAAGAAGGACCAACAGGAAGAGGTGGTGGATTCATGACAGAAAAAGACAAAGAACAAGAAAAATGCAAACAAGAAGAAAAAATCACCAGCTCCTGTAGAAACCCATCAAGATGTAAAGGAAGAGTTAATCTGTCAGGACACAAAGCCAAATGAGGTTAGTAAAGAACAGGTAAAATCTGGAAGCACAAAATGAGGTGAATGAATATCCAAAACAGGCAACTGTGGCAGGAAGCAATTAAAATATTGAATGTCCAGAAAAATCCTGAAGTCGAGATGGACAAAAACTTCACCAAGATGATAATACCTAAACAAAGGTAGGAAAGGTAATAGTCGATGGAGGTACATTCACTTTTGAAAATCATACAATCCAATCCCCAGGCACTAGTCCTAGTCACAGGGACTCAGATAAAAGTGTTAAAAAGGTAATGCTAAAAAGGATGGCAAGGCTCAAGGCAATTCTTCAGGAAGAGAGAGCAGGGTCAGCAACAGCAGCATCCTGCACAAGAATGAAGGTCCCTCCAAGGACAGCAGGAATGCCTCTCACTGCCATGTCATGTCCAAACACCAAAGTCAAATAGAAGAGAAAACTTTAGATGGCACTAGTCTGGGAAAGCATGACTTGTCCACCCCAGCAGTAGCAATGGGGGCCTTGAGTTCAGAAAGTAGAGCAGCTCCAAGAGGGGATGAGAGGGCACAGGCAAAGCTGAGTGCACCCTCTTGAAACGTGGGCAGATAACAGAAGGCAGATGTGTTGTGGATCGGCCTGTAGAGAGGGCAAAGGCCCACAGGTTCTAATTGTCTCCAATCTTCACCAGTAATGTTTATGCAGAGTTCTGTGTCTGCAGAGATGTACTGACAACACCAAGGTACCTGAGACTTTAGGTTACAGACTGTAGTTGACTTACAGGTTTATAGTTAATCATTGAGATCATCACCCTGATTAGAAAAGACACATCTGCTACCAGGGTGTTATCACTTACAGCAATCCAGTACTATCAAGCAGTAATATATGGGCCTGGAGTGGTGGCCTAGCAGCTAAAGACCTCGACTTGAACACACCGGGATCCCATATGGGCGCCGGTTCTAATTCCAGTGGCTCCACTTCCCATCCAATTCCCTGCTTGCAGTCGAGGATGACCCAAAGCTTTAGGACCCTGCACCCATGTGGGAGACCTGGAAGAGGCTCCTGGCTTTGGATCAGTGCAGCACCAGCCGTTGCAGTCACTTGGGGAATGAATCACTGGATGGAAAATCTTTCTCTCTGTCTCTCCTCCTCTCTGTGTATCTGACTTTGCAATAAAAATAAATCTTAAAAAACACACAGTAATATATATACTGCTTACATGTCATAGTAAAATGAAAACACTGAACACTGCCAAAAGCTGATATCAATGTGGATATTCTTGATCAAATCTATAAGCAGCTGAATGAAGTGATCAAATAGCAGTCAGATTGCTGTGTCATGGGTATAATTTGTATTTAAACTAAATGGATCCCACTGAAATATATCTTTTAATATTTGACTTCAATGTATATATCATAATCTACATGGTATTCAGCATAAAGGAGATAGATGACCAAAGCATGTAGGTCACAGAATGATCAGACTTGCACCTGAGGACACTCATCTGCCTTTACCTCAAAGAAGGGTTTATATTATACCAGTGCTTTTGGACTGCCTTGTTGATGATGCCTGAATTTGACTTGAGATATCATTCAAGTTCACTTCATGCTGATGATGTACCAAACCCATGTTACACAAAAATTTTGTTTTAAAGATTTTTCTGGAAGTGACATATTGAAACCGTTTTTTATAGTATAGTATTTGGGTGGGAGCAGTCATTTAAAATATTTATTTATCCTTAAAACCTTTGTTTGAAACTTGAATCTTTATTCAGAAGAGCAATACAAAAGGTCACTTGCTTTTGTGCAAACTACTATTAGACATTTGGTTATATTTTTAAAGTTGAATCATTTTTAGTATGTTGGCTTAAGTATGTTTATTTGCTGTTTCTCATGATATTCCTATTGGAAAATTGTTTTGAGCTGCATATTTTTAAGACACATATTTTTAAGATAAAGCAGCATAAAAATTATAAAAGTAAACAAAATTTGTGAACTATAAATTAACAAGGAATTGCTCAATGGACATGATGCTGACATTGTATGAGATTATGTGAATTCATATTACTGTTACAAGATATGACAACAAAAACAACAATACCACAATAAAATTTGAGGTAAACCTAAGCCACACGTTTAAAATAAAAGCCATTCTACATTTACATGTATATATTTATATATGTATATATGTGTACTCTAGTGCAGAAATATTTGAAACCCACATGTGCAGCCCTAGTGCCTTCTTTCCTAGGCCTTGGCTGAGCTCTGCTTCAGGTGCCTCTGCCAAGGCCTTGTTACGGGTTGGGCTGGGGCTTGATGACACTTCTGTGCACTAAGAACCTGGGACTTGCCTATTCCTGGCCCTTTTCTCTCCCTTTGAGCGCTTCATTCTGCACTGGTCCATCTACACCCAACCAGCCTTCCCTGGGGTCAGGGGACTGAGGGAGCAGGTGGTTCCTCAACTTCCTTTGATCATCTGAATGCGACTGCATACTTAACTCTTACATTTTCAGCTGTCCTTTTAACGGCTACTCTGGCACTTGGCAGTGCAAGTATGACTCTATAAGATCTATAGTACCCAAAATAAAGCAGCCCTTTTCCTCTGAGCTATCTAACTCCAAATCGACCTCATCTGCCTGACTTACGCTGGCATTTTCCACCATTGGTTGGATCGCCATAGAAGCCAGAGATGCAGGTCTCACAGTGCTTGCCCGTGGTCAGGTTCTCACACTTCTCACAGATACTCTGGTTGATGCATTTGCTGTGGCCATTACACTGGCAAGCTGAAAGAAAAAGAATTTCAAGGAGACATGGTCCATGGCAGAACCTGGAAGAGCAACTTTAAGTTTCTTATTGCCTCTAACTGTAAATTCATCAAACCTAGCCCACCAAAAAAGTACTCCAAGATAAGATTACAAAAATCCAAAGCCAAACAAACAAAAAATAATCAAGTAAATTAAGAAATACATCATAACAAGGTCAAAGTCCATAGTTACGTCAAAAAATAAATTTTTGCTGTTTTACTGCAGAAAGTAACAAACACACAATACTGTATTTTATACTTGTTTGTAGACATGTACATTTAACCCCTTTATCCATTTTTTAACACACTGTGCCACTCTGTCAGCTGTAGCTTTATCCATTTCTTAATTGCCTTGCTTTTTTATCATTGAATTTAAAGTTACACATACTGGACATTAGATCATTTTAAATTTTATTTTTGATACTGTTTACATAGTTGAGAGGGATGCATGCCCATGAGCCAGGAATGGAGGAAGGTGGGTAGAACACATGTTTCAGGCTTGTCTTTTTTTTTCCTTCTGTGTCCACAGAGGAGGAAGGGGAGAGGGTCATTCCTTGCTGTCAAAGTATATCAGCACTCAGGGATGGGGGACAGTCCTTTGATGACATCCCAGAGAACCTGATGTGGCCAAGAGCAATTTGAGGGTGTTACTTCAGTGGTCTTGATAAACCTGAGACATTGTTGGTTTTGTTGCTCCAGGGTTGGAAAATCTTCCCAAGGTCTACCGGTTGACAAACTTCACCTTAGTGCATCCACAGTCCCAGAAACACGTTGCAAAGCTTGGCCAGAATTGTCTAACCTCCTCTGTTTTCCATCATCTAATGAGGTAGCTGAAGTTCCCTGCTGGCTTAGATAAGCTGGCTGTCATTGGATATTAAACTCTTACCAGATAAATGATTTATAAGTATCTTCTTTCACACTGTAAGTTGTCATTCTATTTGCTTCTCTGAGTACAGTTTCTTTATGTCATTTGCTCATTTTATATCATTTCTTTATATCATTTGCTGAACTAACATTCAGCCTTTCCCCCAACCTGTTGGAAAGTGGGGGTTTACAAGCTCTGGTAACAACTGCTGTTCTATCACAGCATGTAATTTCCCTCAGTCTGTCTCGTGCCTTTTACCTTTGTGGACAGAGGACCTCACAAAGAGCCTGTGAATGCTACTGTCTGACAAGCTCTTGCAGAAATTCCTGTCCAGTGAACCTTTGAGAGTCTTGTATCTGTCCAGCCTTCTCAACTATTCTTTCTCGAAGCACTCAGGCATATTCCTCAGCCATTACTTCAAGTCTGAATCAAACACCAATCTTTCATAGTCCCTTGTCTGGAACAATTGCCTCATCTCACTTTGTTCACCCAGCAGGTCCAGGTCCAGACCCAGGTTTGGGCCAGCTAGTGATCTACTTCTTGCCTTGACTTAAAGGGAGAGGAAGAGAACTGAAATTTTCCTCCTGACAAAAAAAAGAGATCCTTTCCCTCCCCATTTATTTTGAGCATTTTCGTAAGACGACTTGCAATTATAAGCAAGTGTGTAAGCAAATCATATTGAAAAGTTTAAGTAAGCCTTGTTATTCTTATAATCCAGGATAGTTTTTCCTAAGGGCCTAGAAGCCACCTCTTGGAAATATAAACATCAAGGGAGACAGAGTACCCTGTCCCTGTCACTTAGGGAAACTAGCTTAGGAATATTATATCAAGTTGCAGCCTCATCTGCTTGGTACAAAGATAACAGTTTTATTTTCTTTTGGATAAATAGAGATAGCCAGCCTAACTATCAGCTCAACTTAAGATGAACCATGAACCATGAAAGAATGTATTGCAAATGGTCTCATTAAATCCTTGCACATGAGGACAAGCTATTGTTTATCTTGACAAAATGTATAAAATAGATTGCTAGTTAACTCTGACTTTGAAAACTCATTAGTGCATCAGGGTCTGGTTTAACATTTATCTAATAATAAAATTATTTTCTTTCTTTCCTATGTCCGTGAAGAGGAATTTCTAAATTGACAGATATTACTTTTAATTTTTTTCTAACAAAGGTAATGATGCATTTTAAGTAAAAGACAAACTGCAGAGCAGTTTACAGTAACATGCACACAGAGCATATTACTGCTTATTTTAAAACACAGATTAGCATGTGTAGAGCTATCTTTACCTCTGTGAGAACTGGAAATGAAAAAAATTTCCATTTTCATTTTATATATGAGGATACTCTTAAAACTTAGTTGAAAATGAAACAAATAAATATCTTGGTGGGAACATGATTGAAATGCATGTATGGATTTTTTTTCATAGTGTACATTCTCCATAAAATTTTTGCAGTCTTCTACTATATCTGTAATATTTAATTTCTTATAATGGGCATATATTTTACAGTAAACTAGCTCACTCTAGGTTTTCTATACTTTCACTAATTGACATTAAAATATTTTTTACATGAAAGATTTCTCCTAAAATTATCTATAATTTCTATTACTTTTATTATAAGAAATCCATATAGGCAATGCCACTTTCAAGGTTTTATGCTTCAGCAATAGGTAGCAGAACACTTGGACTGGATACACCAGATCTCAGATCTCTTACCTGGACAGTGAATGAAAGACCAGTTGTATCTGCTGTCTTCCAGACACATACTGGAGTTGAGCAGGGGCTGTGGATAGAAGTTCCCCGTAGGGGCCTGGGAAGGCATCTTCACGGGTCCTTTGTAAGAGCCTTCTATGCATTTCCCTTTGCCAGTATTGCTGGGATCAGTACACCAGCCACAGCCTGGTTGCTCCAAGCAATGACTACAGGTACAATATCCTGAACAGTTTTCAGCTGTTAAAGAAATACACACATACAAATTGTAATTCATCAGCACAGGTAGATTTTAACTCATTGCAGCTAAGATACCTTTTTCTTTAGCAGACTATTTAATTGCTGCACATCAAAATTAGTATTAAATCCTAAAAATTTAATTGAGATAATGAATTAAATAGTTTAATATTTTGTATAACACACAATAGGGACCCCCTCCTCCTAATCCCAGGAAGCTGGAGGTGGAAAGGTGGAGAGGATTTCAGAGGTCATTTACTAGAAAGCAATTACTATCCAAATCAGATTAAGGTGTAAAGACAGTGCATGGATTGAACAAAATGACACAAAAGTTGGGCAAGTCATTTTTGTACTTCATGATCTATCCTACAGTTAGTGACTTGTGTCACTGTGCACAGTTCTGCAGGAAGTCTGTCCTCTGGACATGTGAGCAGAAGGTCAGGTGAAGCTGAGAACATCCCCCAGAGCAGGAGTCGGTGCCTATATCAGGACCCTGCTAAGTGACTAGCACTCCTGTTTTACTCACGGGGACAGCTGCTCATCGTATACCACTCCATACACTGGCCAAAAGGAAAGGAGGCCACGTAGGCATTGGAGTCCACACACTGCTTCATGTTGCTGCACCACATGCACTCAGAGCTGCCGCTGGTACACTCTCCACATGCTGTCCGCAAGGCACACGGGGTCCGGCACTGCTTGGCACTGTGGTTTGCTGGGAATTAAACCCAAGAGAGACACTCAGAGTTCTTCCTATGTTGGTTAATGGCAAAGACTTCACAGATATGCATTGTGACCCACTGGGGTGTCATGAAATCAATTTAGAAGTGCACTAACCAAAGGAGAAAACTAACAGAGAACATAAGAGAAATCTGAAATGACGAGTACATTAATACACTGGGGGGTGGGGGGGATGGATTTTCTTTCCAAAAAGCACTAAGGACAAAGATAGTGGAATAAATATCTATTATTTTATTCTTTCTTCCACAGCATTTCTGTTAGTGCCAAGAAATTTGCCTTTTACAGAAATTCTCAACATTGTGTGTGTGAGCAACAAATCAATTTCATTGTTAATTAGACTATTAAGTTATTTTGCTCAGTGTTACTAAGTGTTAGTCATTTTGGGTTTGGTTTGGCTTGGACTTTTCAGAGCTGCGGACTACTTCTTTTGACTTTTGTTCCCATTTTGCCTCATAGGCTTGAAATCAATACTTTACCTGTTTCCATGGCCATTTCATACTCTCAGTACTTAGTGCTTCCTATGGTTTCTCTCAACACAAACATTCAACAGCACCTAATTCACCTACATCCTTACCAGGCCTTTCACAGACGCTACCATTGAGTGGGTTGATGCAGGTTGCTGCCTTCAATCCCCGAGTACTGGGTTCTGACAAGATTCCACAGAATCCAGCATCACTGGGCTCCGATGGCATCCACTGTAGTAATGTATTTGTAAATGGGGACATATCCTCCCAGCACCAGTAGGATACATTGATCTTCCGAAGGCCAACCCAAGGTGTTAAGGTGAGTTTGGACTATGGGTAAAAATCAGACATAACCATGAATGTAAACAAGGCCTTGTCCAAAATAAGCTTCTAGAAGAGAACCATTGAATTAGGTACCATGCACAAATGCAAGAAAACATCCTGATCACCAGTCAGCCATGGCAGATGAGGACAGATCATCACTTTAACAATGGTTACTTTACAAAGAAAACACCCATGGCTCAGAGAACATACCAAAGTTTTTAAAGATTAAATAGCAAAGTGATAGTCAAGTTCTGAAACCCCTCTGCCCTCTACAAATGCTATGGAGAAATGACTACTCCTAGGGGTGAGCTTTTAACACAAAGTTAAACTGCCGCTTGGGATGCCTGCATTCTTCAATGGAGTACCTGAGTTAAGCTCCCCGCTTTGCTTCTTATCCAGCTTCCTGCTAATGTGTTTCTTGGCAGGCAACAGTTGATGGATCAAGTACTTTGGTCCCTTCCATCCAGTTGCAGATCATCATGCTAGCCTACCCACAGCTTGCTCCAAGAGCCCTGCCCTCAGACTCTCCATCTCATACAAAGGAATACCAAAGCAGATAGCACTTCTCTCTGACCCTGCCCAGTTCACTCTTCTAACCTCCAGGGGTTGCTTCCTCCCCTTCTCTACAGCCTCTTTTCTCAAGGCTAGGATGGATTTCCTTGAATGTTTTTCCATATGCATCTGGGCTCCAACTGGAGCTATGCTCAGAGGCATATTATACTCTAGTTTTCTCTCAACAGTCAGTCTTATCACAAGACTGTGAATTTCTGTTTTATAAAAGAGACCACAGCAGAGCAGTCTACACAGCATTAAACTTTAGAGCTAGAAAACTTGAGGAAGAAAGAAAAGAAACCAGGGTAGATGTGTGGCCAGCTGGGATGGCTGAATCCTTACAATCAGCTATCTTCCAGAGATGTGACTTGAGGGCCACTGGTTCACACCCCAGTGTAATGGGTAAAACCATGAACCAGAGGATGAAGAACTGTGGGTAAAGTTAGCTGACAGCCAAATACAGAATGCTGGAAGAAAGGCAGTAAAAGAACAGGGATAGTCTCTAAAGGAAACTATAAAACTCAAAAAAGTTGTTGAAATATAAAATATCAAATGTGGCCAGTCTGCCCTGAAACACACTCAGAATGCATTACCAGTATTTCTGTGCCCATATCAAATCAAAATTGCACTGGGGAAAAAAAAAAAGATAAAATATAGTGCATACCTCCCACCCAAATGGAATGGTGGTTTAGGCTGCACACAGAATCCAAGGTAGCCAGAACACTGGCAAAGCTTTCCACAGTCACAAGAAGAGGGCTGCATCTGGGAAAGCATGATCCTCAACTCCTTCCTGCTTAACAAGAAAGTGCCCCTCAAAGCCCTTTATAACATTGTCAGCACTGCCAGAAGTATTTTTCCCCTGAGTTTTTATTTATATGAGAGTACAATCACAGGTCTAGGCCTTTGGACTAAAAGTAACAAAAGTTCACTGTAAATATCAACCACAAGCCATTTGAGAGCCTGGACAGAAAGAGAACCGAAACCTTTCTAAGCTCAGACACTCCTGATGAGGAGGTGCTCTCTTCCTATGGGCTGGCAGTCTAACCAAGACCCCAACTGAAGTGTACCTTATGGTGGTCCACCGTAATAATATCTCAGCTCTATGGACTTCAGTGGCTTAGTCCAACTTAGATCATTAGCAGTGACTGAATCCCCCAGACATACCTACAGAATCTAGAGGTAAAACAAGTATGAAATAACCTACTGCTATCACTTGAATACATGCAAAAAAAAGTTACTAATCATCTAGTACATATTATTCACACATATTACAATTTGCTGAAAAGGTATGAATAACAAAAGTACAGAAAATACTGGAAGTTTTAGAAGATAATTAAAGGAAGAAACTGTCACATAAACCCACAGTCTATCACACTTGTATGCTAGCATGCCTTCATTCCTCTATTCATAGGGCCCATGGAGACTTCCCCATATAAGCCACTGTCACACATTCAGTAGCAAGATGAATACCCAATACTTGAGTTCTGAGGATTTTAACTCACCATGCTCTGTGATGACTGCATTATTCTCAGCTGCTTAAGAACAAATTCTACCTTCTTTTGGGTTGTGAGAGAAGCCAAAAAGGCATTGTGGTTCCTACAGGACAATTTAGCATTGTCATAATTCTCCTTAGCAGTAGTGATTTTCAAACATGAGTTTCCAACCAAATGCCATCCAATGCCACAGATGTTTTCTTTTGTAAAAGAAGAGAGAGAGAAAAAAGTTTTAGAAACCACTTAAAACTATTCTACTACCTATTCAAATTACTGAGCAACTAAATGAACTTTATAATTTGAATTCCAGGTACTTCACTAGGCTATAGTTAGTGCAGGTATAACATACACTACAAAGCACAAATATAGAATATAAACATTTAAAAAATATTTATCAGTCATATTTCCTGGATCTCCAGGACACTCAGTAGTCACCTCTCCCACATCCTAGAAGAAAACATCCACTTGGTATTAACAGTAGATTGGTACATCCCCTTTGAAGAACAGTAAGAAAAAAGACTAAAATCTCAAGAGCAGACAAATTAATACGCATACTAGATGAACGGAGTAGAAAACTGCAAGAATGGAAATGAGTTGGGGAATGAATGAATCTATAGTCCTCAAAAGCTGTACTGTTTCTGTATCACCAGGCACAAGGTATAACCAAGTGCACCAAGCAACCTCAAACAGGTGACACAGCTGTAGCACACACAGCAAGCTTGCAGCCTGCTCCGTGGGATCACCCTGACCCACATAAGGTCCTGAAGGGAAGCTACGTATGCTTCCTAGAAGACTATGACCAACAGGGACACCATTATCTGTGTCCACCAATAACAAAGCAAAGAGCACAGCAAAGAGATCCCTTAAAAGCATATAAAAGATTTACTCCTCAAAATATAGTGCCAGTGACCAATTATATACAGACTCCAGGGCCCAGCCTCAGATTTGCCCAACTAAACACTTGTTTCAGTAAGATTCCCAGGTGTTTTGCTGATCATTAAAGACTCAGACATACTGAAAGAAAACAGTGAATCTGCAAGCTGAATCAAGCACTAGCAAAAGATATGCCACTGGAGCTTAGACCAGCCCATCTGTCCTGGACATGCCTTAGATACTGCAGAGAAACACAAAAATTCCTCTTCTTGAATATTCTGCTTGAGTACACACATCCTAGGGATTCAGTTGTGGCCTTATGACCACAACTCATCGTCTCAAATCTTAGAAGGGCCACAAGTGAAGTATTCAGTCTGAAGATCAGCCTAGGAGGTGCTGTGGACAGACGTGTCTCTCCTCTTGTTCCCTCAGAGCAGGAGTCCCCACAGTAGGTGGTGGCAGCCAAACCCTCGTTGTCACAGCTGCATTCCAGCCCCAGGTTACCACAGCAAGGTAGAGGATGGACTGTGGAGCATACTCAACAATGCAGAATGAGTTTCACCACATTCTGCAGGCAGTAGGTGACACTTCATTTCAAACAACAGCAGAAGCAAAAAATGAAGAACTATATTTCAGTGCTTGTGCTTTTGCTTTTTTGTTTTTAAAGTAACAACCATAATGGTGGCATGGAAAGAGCATAAAGTTTTAGACAAACATACACCAAGATGCTCCCACAAGGCCTACCAGGCAGGGCGATGCATTCCTGATTCCGGGGCTCCCACTGGCAGTTCTGGTCCAAGGCACAGCTCCTGCAGCTGGTCTTCTTATTACAGTAGTACATTGGATTATCCTTGGGGCAGTTATCATACCTGAAAATGGAGATCTAAAAGACAACGGACAAGAACTTTTTCTCTGATACCTATGGATAGAATGCATGATGAAGATCAGCAGGGCATAAAGACAACTAAAATTTGATTGAGGAAAGCAAGCTGCAAATAAAAGAGATAAATAGGCAAATGAAACAGCACTGCAGTGAAATGTTCTGCTTAGGAGAACATTCACTTCCTGGGAAGTGGATAACCCATTCTTTCAAACACTACGCTTCAACCTGCTCATCAGTAAAAGAGGAATGTTGAACTTGCTGTTTCTCAAATACCATTTTGTAAACAGTCTAAAAGTTTCACATTTCACAAATCAAATTAGATGGATACAAAATGCCTTATATAGGTGACTGTTGAGCATACTAGTTAAGAAGCCTTTTGGGATGCCTATATCACCCATGGGAAGTGTTAGGGTGCAGGTCCCAGCTCTGCTTGACATTCCAGCTTCCTGCTAATGTGCATCCTGGGAGACAGTGGTGGTGGCTCAGGTAATCAGGTCTCTGTCACCAAGACCAGACTGGCCTAGCGCCAGATGTTAAACGCAACTGCAGAATGAGTCAGCAGATGGAAGATTCATCTCTTGCTCCTCTTTTTCCCTGCCTTTTAAACAAGCAAGAATAAACACAAAAATAAATTTGCTTTTAAATTGTCTTATAAACTATCAAAAAGTATAAAAGCTGAGCCATTTATATTTTTACTCTTTCATTATAATATAATTTTTTTTAAAATCTCATGCGGTATGCACTGCAGTCACACTGAGCCAAGATATACCACAGGGAGACTTCACAAAGTTTATTATTCCAGAACTCAACATGAGATGCTATATACCTGCCTCAGCCCTCAGCCTCAATCTCAAGCTCTCATTTGCTCCCAAAACCTTGCATAAGTTGAGTGAGGTTACCATTACCTGCCTCAAACCAAGGATCTAGCACTGACCATAGCTATGCCTAGAGGAAACAGTCCTACCTTCCTCTAAACACCACATACGAAACTCTGCTGTCTGCCAAGTCCCTCAGAACAAGGATGGAGGGTGCATCCTTTCCTAAAAAAGCCTCAACCATGTAAAATCCAAACCTAGACCCTGCTTTAAAAATAACTCTGAGCTATTATTCATACTATGTACACTATAATCTAAGCCTGAGCAACATTAGGATTTTTCTATCTTTTGAAACCCTTCTGAAACAGCCCCTGACCTGGCCTTCCGTGCAGCTGTGGTTCACAGGGACACAATGGTCATTGCACCAGTGGCAGTCATTGGTGTTGGCTGTGCAGCTGTAGCAATCCGTGTGCTGGTCACATCTGTCATGGTCAAGAGCTATAAAGAACAGAAAAACTCATCAACAGGGAAAACTGCTATGGGACACAATTTTTGACTGAGACAAAAATAAAACAAAATGATGGAAGCAAAATAAAGAGTGAAAACAGCAGGAAAACATACTGGTATGTTCACATTAGAATAGGATTAAACATGAACATGCTGAAAAAGACACTGTTTTATTAGAAGTACACATAATGTGAAAAATAGATAAAAATGAACAACTACCAGCTATTCATGTAACAGAAGTCAGGTCTGATTCTTTGAATGGTTTCTTGTTCTAACCCCCTCCCTACCCCAACAAATCAACCAGCAATAGAATGAACACACAGGAGAAGCTGTGTCAGGAGATTGAGCCATTCCTCCTAAATTGAAGGCTATCAAAGGCCAAAAAAGTAGATAGCCTCACAGAACCCCACAAGAGACATGGGGTTGAGCTGTAGTTGCTGCACATGAAGGTAAATTCAAGAGTTCAAGCTGAGAACTTTTGGGCCACTACTGATCTGTTTCAGCTCCTGCTGATCCTAAGACACAAAAGCAAAACTATGTGGCTCCAGCTGCTGAGGCCCTTGTCCATGGACACAGCACCTGGTGGAACCCAGGCACAAAGAGGCAGGGCTCATCCTCACAAAGACCCCAGAAACCGGCTCCTTAGCTTGTTCTTCCTATCCTGGTCACCCTGTTTCAGAAAATTTCATCCAACAAGAAAAAAAAGGAGATAAACAGAGAGTTTCTATCAAAGATGAGACAACATCAAATGGATTCGTACTGAACAATTTAAGCTAATTCAGTATCATTTCCTACAAGTTTATACACTAACTTGAACTTTCTAAATGTGGCAAAAACATAAATTCATGCCTTGCAGGAAACAGTGACTAACTCTAACAGGTTCTGATTGTCTTGGTTCTCCAGCTCTTCCAGCCCACCAATGAATCTGGGAGGTTTGCATGGGTGTTCTTGCTAAAGATTATGTTCCAAAATAGCTTAATTTGGAACACTCTAGAAATGTGAAGGCAGCTTCTAACTCTCAAGGTAGCTGTAACACCTATCCTTCAGGTGAAGAAATTTACTCAACACATTTTAACTGCTGTGAACAAATAATTTGGATATATTCTTCTTTAAAATTTTTTTAAAAAGGTTTATTCTATTTGAAAGGCAGAGTGATAACAAGAGACAGAAAAAGATCTTTCATGTGAGGTTCATTTCCAAACGACCTAAACAGCCAGTCCTAGGCTGGGCCAAAGCCAAGAGTCAGGAATTCCGTCCCGGTCTCCCACGAGTGTGGCAAGGGCCCAAATAGTTGGGTCATCTTCTCCTGCTTTCCCCGGAACATTAGCAGGAAGCTGGATAGAAAGTGGAGCAGCCAACTGGTGCTCCAATCTGGGATGTTAGCATTCCAAGTGGCAGCATCTTGCTGCAATGTAACACAGGCCCTTCTCTTAAAGTACCTTTTCACATATTATTTCACTGCAGTGCACTGTACAGTGTGGAAGGACAGGACCGGACAGGCAGGCAGGGTACAAACATGAAGCGGGGGCTCTCACAGCACAGATCCTTGCTCATCCTCGGCAACTGTGCTGCTGTAACTGCCGTAGCCCAACACTTTGCCAGGACAGCTATTCTATCTTCAATCACCAGAACAGTTTCCTCCCAAATAGCTTTTCCAGGTTCACTCCCAAATCTCATCCTTAGCATGAGATCTGTGCAATATTGAGAGGTGCTAGTCACACGTAGTTTTTAATTAAACATAAAACAGGAGAGTGCTATGGTACAGCAAGTTAAGTTGTCACTTGGGATGCCAGCATTCCATCTCAGAGTACTAGTTCCATCCCCAAATCCTCCATTTCCCATCTAGATTGAGGAGACACAAGATGGAATTAAGAGCTTCTGGCTTCAGTCTGTCTTAGCCTCGTTGTCACAAGAATTTAGTAAGTGAACTAGCCGGAAGAAAACTCTCTCTTCCTCTCTCTCTGTCATTCCATCTTTCGAAAAAACAAATCTTTTAAAAAATTAAATTACACTGAAATCAGGCAGTTGCAGCCAGGATCTGGAACTAAAACACAAAGTCCATCTATTGCCAAGATCATTTTTTAGGAGCTACATGACCTGTCAACATTCAGTGTGATGACGTTTACCAACTAATTCTCAAACACTCAAAAAGGCCTTATATAAGCCATTACTGGAAAATTTTTGATAAGAAGGTGAACATGAAAGGTATAAATATGCTAAATCCCTTCATAATCCAAGATAAAAGGAGATTTAAAATTAGTTGAATTCCAAGTAGAAAAAAAACAAACATACTTCTTTTGGGAAAACATTCTGATTTTAACTTTTCTGCTTGTTCTTCCGATGCCAGCTCCAAGGATAAACACTGAGATGACCCTGTGTCCCACACACACCGGATGCCGGGTCCTGCGGCAGAGCAAGCAGCTTCGCTCCGGTGCGCTCCACACTGCTCCAGCGTGAACACCAGGATGTCACTGAGAAGGAGGCTGTTGAAACCGCCGAACACATACATGGTGCTAAGAGAAAAGAAAGGGAGAACCAGTGTAACAGACAAATCTTAAGGGTTACAAGTCCTCTAAAAAATTAGTTTTTAAGTTCACAAAAAAAAATTCTTATTCCCTTCCTTCCACAATCTGATAATTTCATCCTAATGGCCACCCAGAAGAGTTCCAGCAATCCACCTGTACAAGTGAATGTGGGAACTTAGTCCACAATACAAGTGACATCTGAAATCAGTGAGGAAAAAAGACTTTTCAGTAAACTGAGTCAAGATAATATAAGGAAAAAGATAAAAAGAAACAATAAGAACAAAACACGCCAAGTCCTAGAAGAATGAATGAACAATTCTAGCCGAAGAGCAGAGAAGTATCCTAATGACTTAAAATACAGAAGGCGGGGGGAAAAGACTAAAATTTTGATTATACGATTCGATTTTAAGACTTTTTACATAGAAAGCATAGTAAAAGGACAGTAATACACCACATAAAAATTATTTACAAGTTGGTTACAAGAAAAAGGATACTCCTGATATAAAGAAGGATACAACAAGTATACAGGGAAAACTGCAAATGAATTTAAGTTCAACTTCAGTCATTAGGAGAAAAGGAAACTAAAGCTAGATGGAGATAGCAGCCCTCATCTGTCAAACTGGTAAAGGAAAGATCCCGTGACAGTGGACAACACTTCAGATCGTGAGGCTACGGCTGGGGAACAGACACTTCAACACATGTTGCTGGCCAGTATAGTGATGTGGGGAATCTGGCAATATCTAACAAAACAATAACTTGCCTTTGAATTTTAAATCACATCTCTAGAAATCTCCTGTAAATACACTATAGCAAAACTATAAACAGAAGTATACCTGAAACCCCAAGCATTAAAAAGACTCAATTTAAAATGGTACTCAATTGAGGATGTGATAAACTAATTAAGATACTTCCATTGAGTTAATAGGCTGGTATGAAAAGAAATGAGGGGGACTTCTATATGTTGCTATCCAGTGAGATCCATAGTATCGAGTTACGTGAAGGAATATAAAAATCAAATCAATGTGTGATCATTTACCCACTGAAGTAAGGAGGAGTTCAAAAACACAAACATATTGAATTCATCTTTCTTTTTTTAAAACCTTATTCACTTGATAGGCAGTGAGAGACATATCCTACAACAACTGGATCATTCCCCAAATGCCCACAACCACCAAGGTTAGGGCAAGCTGAAGGCAGGAGTCAGAAACTCAATCTGTATCTCCCAGGGCGTGGGGGGACCCAGGTATTGGAAGAATCACCTGCAGCCTCAAAGAGCATGCGTTTGAAACTGGCAGCAGAGCTGGCACACAAACCCGGGAACTCCAATGCGAGACACAGACATATCCTGTTGTGCCCTGATGACTACGTAAAACACCCATTCCCATCTTCTTAATCAAGAAAATACTGTTTTTCTCTTCCACTTGTCTTTTTAAAAGATCTAGAAACATGAACAATCCAACAACAATCAATAGGACCATACTTAGATTGTGGTATCTAGAAACCATTCTGCTTCCTTCCCGAACCCTTCAAAACTAGAACTTTTTAGAGAAATATGTAATTTCATGTCTGGGTCAAGAAAGGTTTGTAATGAACCTATCATAAAGGAAGAAAGTGCTAGAGTAGTAACAAAAAGTCTCAAAAGCTAACATGAAGATCCATTATGATCTATACATGAATCATACTTATACACTCTGCTTCCCCCAAAAGTCTAGGTTTACGTAGATTAGAATTATAGAAAAACTAATGTGATTAGGCTGAATATGTTCTCAAAAACCTTTCAAGTATACTGTAAGAAGCACGTAAAAGTGGCCAGTTTAGGCATAAATATTTGGCATAGTGGTTAACATGCCACCTGCACACACATCCTACACTGAAGTTTCTGGGTTCAATACCTGCATCTGACTCCTGACCCCAGCTTCCTGTTAACACACAGCTTGAGAGGCAGCAGCAAGTGATGGTTCAGATATGTGGGTTCCCACAAGGCTAGAGACTGGAACTGAGGTTCAGGTTCCTGGCCTCAGGCAGACCCAACCCTACTCATTGTGGGATCATAAATGAACAATCTTTCACTCTATCTCTTCCTTTTAGATTAAAAATGAAAACAAATAATAGGTTAAAAACTTAAAAAAAGTGGTCACTCAGAAAGTCCTGTGTCCAACTGAGACATCCCCAGGGCAGATTCATTGAGACATGTGGTCCTCAAGACCAGGCATTTTTGAGCGACAAGGAAGAATGTGACTCAGACTTCAGATCACTCAAGGACTGCAAATGCAATGTGCAGCAAGCTTCGCAGCTTCCCAATTTCTGTTCCCCTTCTGTAGTCTCTCTATGAAGTACCTGCTCTTCTTTCAAACCTCTTTTTATCATGCAGATACTACTACTAGTTACTTGATGACATAAGTGCAGCAACTAACAGCAGGAGACAGTAACCTGAACAAAGGTGATGGTTGTTGTTTTGCTCATTCTGACAGCACCAAACAGTATATTCCTGCATGCCAGCAAAAACAGGGAAAAAATATACATTTGAAATAATTCATACTTCCCATCCTCCAATATTTTAAACATAAATCAGGAAATCCCCACCTGGAATCAGTATAATTCCACAACAAGCTGAAAAGATGAGTGGTTCCCAGAAATAGCACTAAGCCCAACACTAAGCCCAAATGCTTGACTCCCTTTACAAGCACCAAGAGGTGAGTGCTCCTTGTTTGATTACCTGTTGTGTAAGACTGCTGAATGGCCGAATCTGTTGACATCGCGGTGGAGGTCAGGTCTGGGAAGCACTGACCAGCGGTCACAGGCTAGGAGCACGAAAAACACATCTCAGAGAGGATTGCCACTCAGAATCCACAAGAACCAATGCTGCCTTGGGGAGCAAGGCTACCACAGACAAACCCTGCACAACAGGCGTCCACAGGTGCTTGGCCAGACCCTTACATCTGGGGTAAATGTAGGTGCAGCCAAGCAGTGGGGTCTGGAGGAAGGCAGAGTCACAGGGCAGTTCATCCAATGAGTGGATCACCCAGTGTCCCCATCACTCACCCTACCACCCATGAGTTGTACCCACAAGAAGGCTTTTTAATTTTTGTGCTTTCCATTTCACGAAGCTGATGTGAGTAAAATATATGGCTTCCATTAAAAAAAAAAAACAGGTGGACAATTAAATTTCTTTTAATTAAGTTTGCTTTTTAGTCTTTCACCCTGGATCTCCTGAGGTTCTACTGCCATGGCCCAACACTGCACCTTCTCTTCTGGACTGAATGTCTGCTGGTGCTATTCACCACCGCCAGCTTTACACTCCCTGACACACCACCCAAGACACTCACCGGGTGCAGGTTCCTCGCTGCACCTAGACTTTGATTCAGCCTAGTTGACTGCAGCCTTCATTTTCTTCTGCCACCTACCTAGACTCGGTTCTTCCTCACAAGGAAAAGTAGGTCACCAACTCTTCTGGCTTCCTACCCACCTATCTTGCTTGCTTCCTTAAAACCAAAGTGTGGTGGTGACTTCTTCCTCTTTTTTGTTTTTTTAAATATCTTTTCTTCCCCCTGTGATACATTTTTGTAGATACAGGAGTTCATCCCTTCCCCTTTTCCATCCCTTTTTTCCCCTCCTGTCTTCTACCTCCACCCAAATTATCACAATAGTATATACTGTCCATTAGTACCAGTTACAAGTTTAACTTTCTGATGTTTAAATGTATCATGACATAAATACCAGCAAAGGTAGAAAACTTAGTATTATAATATACAGGTATATTTATATAAGTTGTATTGGGAGTTCTCCTTTTATTTAGAAGTAGAGCCAGCCACATACTGCCTGACATCTTTACTTCCCAGTACGCTAGTCTCCTTTGAATAGTTCATGGATATTAAAATATACTTGTGTGTGTTCTTGTTTACACGTATATTTGTTTACACACACAGTACTTTGCATACCAGCTATCTTATATCAGGGACAGTATGTGATATTTGTCCTTTGGGGACTGACTCATTTCACTCCTTTCTTTTTCTATCCCTAAAGGGCCCTCCCCTAATTCTACACACCCTCTCTCCTTGGGCTGTTTGCTGGCTTTCCCTGTGGCATTTAAATGTTTCCAGGGTAGCTCCACCACCCACTGAGGCACTCAGCTTACCCCCTTCATTCCCTCTGTTGATGCCACTTCTCAGCCTCCTGCAAACTGGACTACTGCTCAATGACGAGAAGGCAATAACTGACCCCTCAGATACTGAATCTGGTCTCAGTTCTCTCACTCAGTCGCCCTGCAGCCACTGCTACCTGCTCCCTCAGAGATCCCCACTCTGCCTGGCTTCAGACATGTGCTCATTAAGTCTCCACTGTCTTTCAGCTTGTTCTCTCTGTCCTCTGACACAACGCCTCCAAAGTCCACCCCTTCTACTGCTTCCTAGTGCTAGCTTCCCAGTGGAAGCCGCTGAACAGGCTTCCGCACGTGCGTCACCTTTACCCCCCAGGTCCCACTGCTCCACCTCCGTTCCCAGCCTTGGCAAAAGGCATCATCTACTACACCCTTGCCAGGTCTCAGGCAGTTAGGACACTTAATCTCGGCACTCTAGGCCAGGGCGGGGAATCTTTTTTCTGCCAAGCACCCTGTAACATCATTTGCAAAACTGAAAACTTAAAAATTAGCCTACTATTGATCTGTTAAATTACGAGTTCCACTTGTGGTTACCCAGGCAGGGGCACACCCAGTGGCTTCACAGGCCCTATACAGTGCAACCAGGGTGCGAGAAGTTCCCCCCTCCCACCCCCGCCACACCCCTGCTCTAAACATCCTTAACTTGCTGGTTTTGGTAAACCCAGGTTCCCAGTCCTTACCACAGCCCAATCCCTCACCAGGACTTACTCAGCGCCTCCTGCTAGCCAACCTGCCCTTTCCCATGATGCTCCTAAAGAGATCTGCTCAAGACACCAACGCAGTTTCAGCACTGCACCAAAAGCCCGCAGTTCACCCATGGTAACCCAGGCTTCCTGAGATCTCAACAGCTTTTTCTGACAGCTACCTATCTCTCCAATCTCGTGTGATGCCACCCCACATGATACCCTGCCATGACAAGGCCAAAATGAACTCCTTGTGGGCCCCAGGTATGTGCCATGCTCTCTCTCTCAGTGTCTCTGCCCTGGCGCCTCCTCTGTCATGTCTCTCTCTGTCCCTGTGTCTCTGCTTAGAGCCTCTTCTGTCATGGTCTCTCTCTGTGTCTCTGCACGGGCCTCCTCAGTCACGGTTCCCCTCTGTCCCATGTTTTTGCACAGGAGGTCCTGCCAAACCTGAGTTGGTTCTCAGGGCTCCTTAGGACATAGGGTAAAGGTCCTCCCTCAGGAAGAGGGGCTATTTCAAACCTCCTTATTCCATGACTTATGGGTGGATAAAGAACCCCACTTATTCACATAATCCTGCCAGCCAGAAACACTGTAAATTTCAAGGAAATCCTCTGCTCATTTCTCTGCCTCCACTATACTGAACCAGGGGCTTCACTGGTTGATCTCCCCTTAATGTGTAAGCTCATTGACTTAGCACATATGTTTGTTTATGTAAACCCCAACTTAGAATAGCTAAAATCATACAGACAGTGGAATGGTGGCTGCAGGAGTTTGGGGAGGGGGAAAAATGAGGAACTATGTATATTTTACCATATTGTTTTTTAAATAGTAATTTTTAAAAATTGAACATGTGATATTTATTACAAGAGATAAGCTGCTTTCTGTTTTGCACAGAGAATTACTACTCTCCTCTGGTCAAGTATATTAATACTCAAGACTAGATAAAAAAACTGGTTCTTTGGAAAATCAAATAAAGCTAATATTTAGCCAACTTAAGACAACGCGGTAGCCTCAACTACGAACACTTCTATGTAGAGCATTTCAAATATTTTCAATGACAAGAGACCAATTACTTCCTAAATGCAGCCTCAAAAATTAACATTTAATGCCAGTAACTTCAAAAAGAATTTAGTGTAGAAGTGACACTTTTTAACAGACATGTATTATTAGTTAAGTCAATTTTATAAACAATGCCATTTGGATCTCTTGCAATGCCTGACCAGGTTGAATTGGTGATATTTTGGGTTACATTTTAAAATGCTTTCGACAGACAAAAAGATTCCACAGACTAAAATGTTTGGGGTACTTACCAATGTCATAAGCCATGAAGTCTGAAGAGAAGCATTTGGCGCCATGGCTCATGGATGTGTCATTGTGTGTGTTCCCTCCAAACACCAGCATAGTTCCGCTCACTATCACAGCTGTGTGCAAGTAACGGAAAAATCGGCTGTCCTTAAGAATGGTCCTTTTGAGTTTATTTAGAAATAATAAATACAAGGTTAGTTTTTAAAGAATAAATATCTATCTGCTAATGCAAATACAACCATTTCATAACTTTACCTAAGTTATTTTTTCAACTGTAAGGATGTAAAATTTTTAAGATCTCTTAAAAAGTCTGGCAAAACAATAGAGTTCTTTAAAGTGTTCACAGAAAACAGAATTAAAAGATTAGCTTACTTTGATGCAAAAATTTTTAAATTCATAATACATTCCATGAATTTCTGTATATTCCCTCATATGCATGGATTTTGAAATTATGTATACCAAATCAAATTCATCTTTTAGTTCTACTGTCTGAAGACATTGTAAGGCATTTTCAGATATTAGTCCCTCTGACTCTATAATTCCAGATTCTAAAAAAGGTTATGTGACATACTGACAGAAGCTTATACATAATACTTTATTAATAAGACAAAAATGGCAAACCAAAACTTCCAGCTGAGAGGTTGTTTACCTACACGATGGAGTATTACAGTCAGTAAAAACAATGACTTGAATAAGAAGCAGAACCTAAAATGGTATCCATAGCATGACTCATATTTTGAAAAGCCAGAAAAAGAGGGGGGAATCACTGCTTTACATCATTTCATAAGTTAAATCTGCTTTACTTAGTTTGTTAAAAATCACCATAGCTTCTACAGACTGATACAGCTCAGAGTAAAAAGAACTCAGAGAGAACATCTTGTGTGATTTCATAGAACGACACTAATAACCGATCCCAGAAATGACACTGGAGCCACCAAGAAGTTAAAAAGTGGATATGTTCTACTCAATTAAAAGTATGTATAAGCTCAGCTATGTAACTTATTCCCTAGGATTCTGAAGATCTACAATTTCACAGTTTTCAGTGAGTAAAAAAATGAAAGCTTCCCCTAAAACATAATAGTGCAAAAAAAAAAAAAAAAGTAGTAGGGACTTAGTCTCTCATTATTTCCCCATTTCTCCACATATCATGCTGAACAGAATTATCCACCTGGTCTGAAAACAAAAAGAATGCCTAGCATTTTCCAATAATTGCCTCTGTGTGGCTCACACCTTAAAGTGAAAGCTCAAAAAAGCACCCACCACATCTGGGTATCCACATCGTATCTGTAGAGGTCATCTGCAAGACGGTATTTATTGGCGCTGAAGGCCTTGTAGCCACCGTGTACATACAGGGCTCTGGTCCTGTTGTCATAAACACTGCTGTGGCCATAGCCCCCTTGCACAAGGGCACCCTGGGTGTGTAATATACTCCACGTATTCTTATCTGTAGGGGGGAAAAACAATCAAAGACAAACTCTGCAGGCTCTTCCTTAATATTTAAAATATTCAAACAGTTTAGGGCAAAAGAGGAGATTTCAGGACATCTGGTGTATCTATAACTTTCTTTTTATCTTTTTATTTATTTACTTATGTTTTAAAAGGCTTATAACAAAGCCATGGCCAAATTCCAATTGTTAAATGTAAAACTCAGCTCCTATAATAATTAGTGACCAACATAGAGATATACTTCATAGACCTACTACTGTCTTGGGAATATCCATTACAGCTGCTATTCCTATTTCATAAAGAGAAAATGTACTTTAATCAAAGGAAGATTATACATTAAAGAGAAATCATACTATTGAAATTATCTCCAAAGGGCTACCCAAATATTGTTTTTGCTCAGAACATTTGTTACTTCAAATCATTTTTATTTACTTATTTTATGTTTGACACCCAGAGAATTAAGTGCCTCACTCTGGCTCCTTGCCAAATAACAAATATTTACTACATGGGATCAAAAATAATCTAAATTTCCCTGGCGACACATTAACATTAATTTTGTGTCAAGATAAACGTTAAGCTAACTCTTGCTAAAGAGTCATAATAAGGGTAGAGATTTTAAATTTTACATTAAAAAAAATCTATTGGAAAAAATAATATACATACCCAAGTCATATTCCTGCACATTGCTTATATACCCATAGAGAGGACAGTGACCAAAAATGACAAGCATGACCACTCGGCCATTTGCCAGGGTAACGATGTGCGCCGAGTGCCCAACCACTGCGTACTGCTCCTTGGCCTTTGGTGTCAACAATACCCATGACTCATTATGGATATGAAACACTCGCAACTCATTGGTCACATTTCCTGTTGAATCAATTTTTCCTCCATACATGTAAATTTTATCCTATGGAAAATAAGTAAAAAGAAAATTAAAAAGCATTGAAAAGATAAGATTCTAAGAACACAAAGGGATCTGTTCAAAATCTCAGTGTTCTTAGCTTGGCATGTTAGTGAAAAGAACCTCACAATGAATAAGAAAAGTATGGCAAAATTTACAAAACAAAAAAACATCAATCATATTCTATGTCTCTGACACTGCTCCACTTGCCTTTTTCTTCCTCATATGAGATATTTTCAGTATAAAATTACTAGGAAAAATAGTTGCTGCATGCTACCATAGAAGTATAAAAACAAAGAAAAGAAAATGATTACTCAGTCACATTATAATGTGGCTATTATTGGCTAAATTAACTAATGAGCATAAAAGCCCATCTACACTTTTCACCATTTAGTTCCATAATCGTAATACCCAAATACAGTTCAAATTCATTTAAATATCTTTGAGTTAAAAAGTTTCAACTTTAATTTTCACTTAAATTTTAGCCAATTATTTATCCTCCATCTCCACTAAAACACAAAGTTTTTCCCAACTAAAAACCAACAATAAACAGCTCAACTACATAGCTCATAAAGTAGCTAAGGAAGAACTAGTTGAGCTTCTTCTGCATACACAGTAGAGATACTTTACCTTGTATAATGCCAAAGAATGACCATATCTAACCACCACATTGTTCACAGAACGGTTCAGTGGAAGCCACTCCCGAGAAGCAAGATCAAACCTATGAAACCAAACAGATCATCTTTCTACCAAATGACAAAACACAACACCTTGTACTCTTACTTGTGAAGAACCCAGTATAGAGGTGTTCACTGTATCTACCATGGACACAGAAAGGCACATGCCACCTTGGTAAAGAAACCTGACACTTGTGCCCACAGAGCACACTGAAAATTCGGGAAGGGAAGCTGGACTATGGACAAGAAACAAAGAAGAATCTACTGGACGCTTCTAACCTTCCTAAGCAGCCCATCAACATAGTCTGAATCCCTAGAAGGTTGCATTAGCCTCAAGGGCCTTAAGTTTTACTTCATTAACTCGTCATATTTAATCATGAGAAACTAAAAATTAAAAAGTGGGATAATTAAGTAAAAGAATACCCAGGTTTTAAGAAAACTACAACAACATTGTAACACTTTTTAAAATACAGATAAATCCAGTATTTATTTATTTATTTATCTGAAAGGCAGAGTTACAGAGAGAAAAAAGGAGAGGGAGAGGGAAAGAGACAGATAGAGCTTCCATCCATTAGTTCATTCCCACAAATGGTCACAGTGGCTGGAGCTGGGCTATTAACTTCTGGAGTTTCCAAGCCTCCCATATTTTCTTTAAGCATGTGTAAAATGATGTAGAGGCTGAATTCACTCTATTTCTTAAATCCACTTATTTCCTGCTTTGAAAGCTTGAAGACCTTAGCAGTTTCCCATCTCTTCTTCCAATTGTTATCATACTAAGATTACAACGTCCTGGTTCACTACTTCCACATTTCACTCTGAAAGTGAAATTCTACACACAGTTTTTATAGTGCTGACTCTATATTTTAGCTGAGTTAATCACCTCATAGTCTGTTTACCACAACTTCTCCCTCTTGATTATTCTGTATTGTTAGATTTCACTATCAAGTGGCTTTATTTGAGGAGACCTTCTACATATTCCTTTCCCTGAGTTATTTCATGTTTAGAAATATCTGCTTCTTGGGATGAGTGTCTAGCCTAACAGGACGCTGGCAAAGCTCCCATGTTCCATGTCATAGAGGTTCAGTACACTGCTCCAGCCTCCTGCTAATGCAGACCCCCAAGAGACTGTTGATGAATCAAATAATTGAGTTCCTGGCTCCTGCCCTCAGCCCAGGCCAGTCCATCACTCCAGGCATTTGTGGAGAGAACCAGTACAGTGAACCCCTCTCCTGCCTCTCAAAGACACAAATTTATATATCTATCCATATATCCACTTTTCATTTTACAGTTGAATGACATACTTCTGGTGTTCTTCCCTCCAGAACCTCAGAGATGTAGCTTCCTTAAATGTTGCTGGGATTCAAGGTTGCTATGTAGTAGTATGAGACCAGCCTGATTCGTTCTTCTCCCTTTCCATTGGTTTGCTTTTCTGCCTTAAGCCTGAAGAAGTCTTAACCATCTCCATTCTTTTGTGTGCTCTATCTCCCTCTTCTTGCTCTCTCTCCTTCATCCCATGTTATCTATCTACCTACCTACCTACCTACTTACTTACTAGAGAGACAGCATGAGTGAGAACTGAATGAGTTCTCATCTATGAGAGAGACAGTGTAAATGAAAGCCGAGTGAGTTCTCATTTATTGGTTCATTCTTCAACTGTCCACAATGGCTAGGTGGAGAAGAAATCTCAATCCAGGCCTCCCTTACAGGGACAGGACCCCAATCCCTTGTGCCATCTCTCAGGGTCTGTAGTAGCAGGAAGCCGAGGTCAGAAGCCAGAGACAGGCACAGAATCCAGGAACTTCAATATTGGATACATACAACTTAACCAGTCTTAACCATCAGACCAAAAGCTCACCACCACTCCTCTCTTTCCATGTCTCCTGCATGGGTATAGCCATCTAAGGACAAGCACCATTCTCTGATGTCCTTACCAGGTGCATTGATAGAAACCTAGATTGGAAATGAAGCAGCGAGACCTGACCTGGCACCCTTAGGCCATTGTCACAGACGAAAGCTTTATCTGCTATATCACAACACCAGCCCCTATGGGTGATTTCTTAATTTACTTTCCAGTGTCTCTAAGAAAGCACATTGAATTTCTATTCTAGCTTTAAGTGTGAGGGCTGTGTATGTCCTGTACTATGCACTTCTCTGAGGAAACGTAGGGATTTGCAGAACACTCAGACTCCCCTGTCAGAAGCAAAATTGTGTTAGATGACAGTTCAGTTTAAAGAGAAGCCCCAGTTTCCGGCAGAGAGTTAGTCAGTTGATATTTTTCCCACTCCCTCTTTACCTGATCCTCCCCAGGAAGGATTTCTTCTGCTTTTCAATTTAAATAGTAAACTAACAGAAATGCCTGCTTAAGTTTGTTTGTGTCTAGCATGAGCTCTAGATGAGAACCTTGGTATCTCCACAGGGTGCTCCCTGCAGAGTATGGAGGGGCCCCTAAATGTTTCTATGGGTGTTTTACTCTTATTGAACTAGTAATACTCTTTTCCTTATCTGGCTACCTGTTGCTCAGTACTCCACGTTAAAAACAAGCAAACAAACAAACAAAAAAAAACAAAAAAAACCTCCTTTTTTTGCTCAAGGGGAGGAAATTCAATGAGAGATTTCAAACGGCAATTTCATTTGTTTTGCAAGAAAGCCAGAAACAGAAATTACGCTTCAGCTCAAAATTTTTGGGTTGTTTGAGAGCAGCTTCTGAAATACACGTATCTATGAATATGAATGACTATAAAACTTAAAACCCAAGTTCCAAAAAAAGCTACTTCTAAAAGGAATTGCTGCAGTTACTTTTCCCCCGAAAAAAGCAAATTATTATTTGAAATAATACTAATATTTACATGAGATACATAAAGCTATGAAAATCAAGTTTTAATCAAGAACAAACAGAAAATAATGATACATTCTAAAAAAGTAAATATAGGAGCCCAGGCACGATAGCCTAGTGGCTGAAGTCCTTGCCTAGCATGTTCCAGGATCCCATATGGGCACCAGTTCATGCCCTGCAGCTCCACTTCCCATCCAGCTCCCTGCTTATGGCCTGGGAAAGCAGTCAAGGACAGCCCAAAGCTTTGGGATCCTGCACCCGTGTGGGAGACCTGGAAGAAGTTCCTGGATCCTGGCTCCGGAACAGCACAGCAGTAGCCGTTGTGGTCACTTGGGGAGTGATTTAGCGGACGGAGGATCTTCCTCTCTGCCTCTCCTCCTCTCTGTATATCTGACTTTCCAATAAAAATAAATAAATCTTTAACAAAGACTCATCCCCCCTTAAAATATTTTTTAAAGAAGGCAAACATAGCTCATGAGCCACACTGGCTAAATAAAACCAACAGGTAAAATTAACATATCCAGGAACAAATATGTGAATTAAACAATTCCTCCATTTACTTAATACATATGTGTTTGGGCACCTTCTAGGAGCCAAGCCATTAGCTGAATAAGGAAACAAAGTTCCCAGCCTTAGAGAATCAAGAACAGAAAAACAGAAGATGAGCAGATATAATTATGAGCACAGCTACAATTAAACATTATGATCACAGTTCCAAAGGAAATGAGAACAAGGAAAACCTGTCTGAACTGGACAGTCAGGAAAGACCTCTCTGTGGGACAATTCACCTGAGAGCTGAAGGAAGAAGTCGGCCCTGCGGTCCCACAGCAGGAATAGACTGGGAACAGCAAGGGCAAAGGTCCTGAAAGCTAAGGATACACAGGATTGATTTTTGGGAAAAGAGAGAAAGACACTTTAAAAAAAAAAGATTTATTTATTTATTTGAAAAGCAGAGTTATGGGAGAGAAAAATAAAAGACAGAGATCTTCCATCCACTGGCTGATGCCTCAAATGACCCCATGGCATGAGCCAATGCAGACACAGCAGCCAGGAATCTGCTCCGGGTATCCCACCTTGGTGGCAGGGAGCCCAATGACCAGGGACGTTCTTTCCTGCTTTTCTCATGCCATTAGCACAAAGCTGAATCAGAAGTAGAGCAGCCAGGACTCTTACCGGCGCCCATATAGGATGCTGGCACTGCAGGTGGCCCGGTGTACCGTAGTGCTGGGACGCAGGCCACAAGGCCACTTTCTGGGGGCAGGGGGTGCGGGAAGGGAGGAGAAAAGGTAGTGGCACTGTCTGTATCTCATAGGGACACCAGTTTGAGTCTTTTTGTTGTTGTTGTTAAAGATTTATTTAATTTTATTGGAAAGTCAGACATACAGAGAGGAGAGACAGAGAGGAAGATCTTCCATCCCATGATTCACTCCCCAAATGACTATAATGGCAGAGCTAAGCTGATCCGAAGCCAGAAGCCAGAAGCTTCTTCCAGCTCTCCCATGCAGATGCAGGGTGCCAACGCCTTGAGCTGGATGGGAAGTGGAGCTGCCGGGATTAGAACCAGTGCCCATATGGGATCCCAGGGTGTGCAAGGCTAGGACTTTAACTGCTAAGCCACTGTGCCAGTCTCCCAGTTTGAGTCTTGATTGTTCCACTTCCAATTCAGAACCCAGTTACATGAGCCAGAGAAGACAGAGGAAGATGGCCAAGTGTTTGGACCCATGCCATCACAGTGGAGTCCTGGATGTAGATCCTGATTCAAAATTCCTGCCTGGCCTGAGCCCTGGCCATTGTGGCCCTATGGGGATGGAAGATCTCCCTTTCTCTCTGTCTCTCTCCCTTTCTCTCTATAGTTCTGTCTTTGAAACGAAAAGGGAGAGGGGAGGGAAGAGGAGAGAAGGCCATGACATCATATGAGATCACCAATAGCGACTATACAAGCACACCAAAGACTTGGCCCTCATATAACATCACTGTAAACAGTCACTGAGGAGGAACCAGTTAGAGAGACTGAGAATGAATAACCAGTTAGGAAAAATAACAAGAGGCAACCCAGATGCCACCTGCATAAACTGTTTGAATAAGGAGAGATGGATTAACTGCACCAGAAATTGTTGCAAGATCAGGGAAGATGAGGACTAACAATAGGAAAGAAAAATCCAATTTCTTCAAGAGCTTAAGAATCACATGTGGTTTGGGACCGGGGCTGTGTAACAGCAAGTAAAGCTGCTGCCAGTGGTGTCAACATGCCATAATGGTGTTGGTTTGAGTGCCAGCTACTCCACTTCTGATCCAGCTCTCTGCTAATGTGTTTGGGAAAGCAGCAGAAGATGGCCAAAGTCCTTGAGATCCTCCTGCATCCATGAGAGACCCAGAACATGCACTGGATTCCTGTTTCTGACCATTGTAGCCATTTGGGGAATGAACCAGCAGACAGAAGATCACTCTCTTTCTCTAACTCTTTCAAATAAATAAAACATTGAAAAAAATGGGGAGGGGGAAGAAAAAATTGATAGTTATTGAGTTTAGTTTCCTTTAAACCATGTGTTTTGGGAGAGACTTTACTGCTGTATGAAAGAAAACTTACACAGGAAATAGTATGCGTCCAAATTTTTTAATGTTCTATTTAAATTTTACATGTTTCGGGAGGTCATATTTTTGGTTTACAAAAATAATCTATATAGGATAGGGAAATGTTTCATTTAATCTTTTTATAAATAAGATTTATCTACTTTTTCTGTAAAGGAAAATTTACAGAGAAAAACAGAGACAAAGATTTATCCACTGTCCGTTGGCTCATTTGCAGCAGCCAGGACTGAGCCAACCCAAAACTGGGAGCCAGGAGATTCCTCTGGGTCCCCCATTTGGGCGTGCAGGGTCCCAATGCCTCAGGCCAGCCTCTACTGCTATCCTAGGCCAAAAGCAGGGAGATGGATGGGAAATGGGACATGAATGGCACCCAGATGGCATCCTGGCACGTGCAAAGTAAAGATTTAGCTACTGAGCTATCAGGCCAGGCCATGAATGTCATATTTTTAAAGCAGGAAAGGAACTTTAGGGTCTGGCACAGTGGCCTGGCAGATAAAAGTCCTCACCTTGAAAGCGCTGGGATCCCATATGGGCACCAGTTTGTACCCCAGATGTTCCACTTCCCATCCAGCTCCCTCCCTGGAGCCTGGGAAAGCAGCCAAGGATGGCCCAAGACCTTGGGAACCTGCACCCATGTGGGAGACTCAGAAGAAGCTCCTGGCTCCTGGCTCCTGGCTCCTGGCTTCAGACTAGCTCAGCTCCAGCCACTGTGGTCACTTGGGGAATAAATTAGTAAATAGAAGATCATTCTGTCTCCTTCTCTCTGTAAATCTGACTTTCCAATAAAAAAATTGATTAATTTTTAAGAATTCTTAAAAAAAAGAGAATTGAGGGAACAGGTAAAGTCATTGCCTATGATGACAGCACCTCACTTGGGTACCAGTTTGGTACCCAATTTGGTTATTCCTCTTCCAATTCAGCTCCCTGCTAATGGTCTGGGAAAAATAGTCAATGGGTACTCCAAGTGGTTGGGGCTCTACCTATGTGGGAAAGCTGGATGAAGCTCGTGGGTTCTGACTCTGACCTGGTGCCATTGTGGCCATGGCAGCCACTTGGAGAGTGAACCAACAGACGGACGATCTCTCTGTGTAATTCTGACTTTAAAATAAATAAACAAATCTTTTTTAAAAAAAAACTGTGATTTCCTATTTATATAGAACCTACTGTATGAATCTAAAGCAATGTATCAGAGATAGTATTTGCAAAACATAACATTCCTTATCATGATAATGAATTCTTCAAAGCTCTCAATTTCAAAAAACTCAGCATTTGCCAAAATCTGGAAGCCTACCACCAAAGTTTTAACAGGAATTTTCCTCAGGTAGCAGATTTCTTGGTGATTTTTTTCTCTTGCTTATGTGTGCTTCATAAATTTTCAACATGAAAACCAAGCTGCTGGAAAAAAAAATGTTTAAAACAACTTACGCTAGAACCATGTTGTAATCTGAGTGGTTAAACATGTATCCTCCAACAACCCACATTATGTTTCCATTGACCACAGCTTTATGAGATGCTCTGGGAAGTTTTAAGTTAGAATATTCCTCTTGAGTCCAAAACGACTGGTTAGCCGGTATGGGAACTGAACATCCAGGACCTAATAAAAACAATAAAGTAACTTCACACAGTGTAGCTTTAAAACATACTGTGTTTCATGTTCTAATCATCTAAATGTTACAAATATTTATTTTTTAGCATCAAAATAAACATCTTTAATTGCTTTTAATTTTTTCAGCATATTAACCAATGGTAATCCTTAATAAAATTCAAAACAACATGTATTCTGATGATGGCCTGATTACCTCAAAGTTAGGTATTTTTTAAATAATGAAATACTTGCCCAAATACCTCTCAAAGAAAAAAACACAAAAAAACCTACTGATCCCAAACCATATGAAAATATTTAGAGTTAAAACGTAATGACTAGGGCCGGCGCAGTAGCCTAGAGGCTGGAGTCCTTGCCTTGCACACCAGGATCTCATATGGCCACTGGTTCGTGTTCCGGCAGTCCCACTTCCAATCCAGCTCTCTGTTTGTAGCCTGAGAAAGCAGTAGAGGATGGCCCAAAGCCTTGGGGTCCTGCACCCACATATGAGACCCAGAAGAAGCTCCTGGCTTCGAATCGAATAGCTCCAGTTGTTAGGACCACTTCAGGAGTGAATCATTTGACAGAAGATCGTTATATTTGTCTCTCTTCCTTTCTGTACATCTGACTTTCCAATAAGAATAAATAAATCTTTAAAAAGGAATGTAATGACTAGACCTGGGTGTCATAATACAAACTACCCATCTTCCATTACTTCAGGAAATTTGAACAAATGCAAGGGACAGACCCCATTCTGGAGAAGGTATGCCTTTTGCTCCCACCTTTGCATGGCCACAATATTTTAATATTAACTCCTTAATGTTAGCCAAAGCTAACAAGTTATAGCATTTAAACAAACACATTTCTTTTTAAAATGAAAAGATTCTGAGGGATCATTAATCATATATAGAAAAGTACTGTATCAGTAACAGCTGTTATCACCCACACTTTAAAGAAAGAACTCTCTAAAGCTTCGCTAATAAGAATCTATTTCTGCAGATAAAGCCATTAGTGAACTGCCTTAGAATTCTAATGTATAACCTACCCCAATTTTCTCTGAACTTACGGAACATTTCTATGTACGTATCAGTATTGTTAGCTGCTACCCCATCTCCGAGTTTGGTGCTCTATATTCTCTCATACCTAAAATCAAGTTCTCTAGCTTTCATGAGTGCGCTGCAAAGGATGCCAAACCCCTCCACAGTTCCAAAGAGACACACACCAACAAGCACATGCATGGGTGAAGTGGAAAAGTTTCTAAGAAGCTGGATAAAGGGGTATAAAAGCTTAACTGCCACCTGACATTTGATTAACACTAATTATATAGAAGCTAAGAACAAAGTCCATCTACAGCTTATGAAAATGGGATAGTTTTATAAACTCAAAGAAAAGGAAACATGCAAGAAGTTCCTACCCTGCCACCCTGACAAGCAGGAACAGCCTCTGGCCTCGCTGGAATTGCAGATGCCTCGGTGAGGGAACCCACAGTCATCGGGACAGTGGGGAATGTCACATGATTCTCCTGTCCAGTTTTCAGAGCATTCACACTTAACAGTGTTGCTGACATTGCTGATCTGACATTCTCCTCGGCCTGAGCAGTTATTCGGACACATGTCAAAACTATGAAGACAGCGGGGAAAATTCAGTCAGCACAGAGCAATGCTTTGATTAATGTAGCAGAACATCTTCCTACACAAGCTTCAAGACTATCAAAGGCGCTCCAGGTCATTTCCAAGGACAATTACAGTACTTACCCTGCATCCCAAACAGGATCAACTCAACATTACACCACAGCTACAGCCTAAGGTACAAGTAATAAAATTGAGGCAACTCCATTGGATTCTCATTCCCGAAGAAGAATCAATAACTCATAAGCAAGTTCAAGCAGAGAGGCTTAGTTCCTGGTAGCCTACCAGCAACAGGTGCTCCAAAATTGCTAACTTCATGCTTTAAAGTTTGGGAAAGAAGGGGACTACTAAGCTACTTTAATAGACTTCTGGGTCCAGCGCAATAGCCCAGCAGCTGAAGTCCTTGTCTTGAATGCACTGGGATCCCATATGAGCACCAATTCTAATCCCAGCAGCTCCACTTCCCTTCCAGCTCCCTGCTTGTGGCCTGGGAAAGCAGTGGTGGATGGCCCAAAGTCTTGGGACCCTACATCCGTGGGGAGACCCAGAAGAAGTTCCTGGCTTCTGGCTTCAGATTGGCATAGCTCCAGTCATCATGGCCACTTGGGGAGTGATTCAGCGGACAGAAGATCTTCCTCTCTGTTTCTTCTCTGTATATCTGACTTTCCAATAAAAATAAATAAATCTTAAAAAAAAAAAAAAAGAGTACAGATTTCTTCTAGTACGGAATACAGGACAACTACTAAAAATTTGTTGTACTATACTTCGCAAATGTCCTCCGTGTTCTTAATCCATTGACAGAAAAATGCCCTGGTCTTCCAGAAGCTTGGCTGCAGCAGGACTGGCTTGAGGTTATACTCCCACCACTTACTTTGCCTGTCTATTAACTGTTTCACATCAGCTTCCTCAAGTTTTGAGCAGAAAAACAGAGCCCATATATCCCTGACTTTTAAAACAAACTTTGAATTTAAAAAATTCCATGCAAACTTTACAATGCCTAGCATGCTGTAAATCTTCAATATTTGTTAATCACCATTACTGCTAAAACAAAATATACGTCCTTTTAAATAAAATCACAATATTAGATTTAAATATCTTACTTGTAAGTGATATTAAATCCAGTCAAATTATAAGCAGCATCACTAAAGAAATGCAGCAGGGCATATCCTGATGTGGCAACCACCTCAGGGACAGTCTCGTTGCCATCTCTCTCAGGAACAATGAGGCCACTGAAATGAAAAGACATTCCTTACAATCACATGCATGTTAGACTGAGGCAGGTGCATACTCAGCACTGAAAATCATCCTTATCCTTTCAGGAAACTAATTCACATAGCTATTATCTTAGCTCTGGTTTCCAGCTGCTGCTGGACCTTCTTAGGAACACATCTGGATCATTTGCTAAGCTCCCTTCAATGGGATTTTTTTCTCTCTCTCCCCACCCATGAAATTTAACATCCACGGCTCTATTCCTTTATTCTATAAAACTTTTATGTGGCTCCTCTGAAAAGCCTAATAAACTTCTACAATCACTCAAAATAATTTAATGAATTGAATAATGCCAGATATTTAGCATTAAAAGACATGAAGTATTTTATATGAGAATATAAAATATCCATTGATATAAAAACATAAACAAAGCTAAGCAAGCACTCACAGCTCCAATACTGTTAGCACTGTGATGTACCTTCTGAGCCTAATAGCTGCATTTTATCTTCTATGTTACAAATAACATGCCATGAGCATTTCCTGTCACTAAAAGCAAGCTCAGAGCCCAGCACATATGAGATTTTTAAATAAGCACTTGTTCACTTCTAGTGAGGGGAAGAATTAGCCAGTCAAAGGGTTCTGAGATTCTTGATCCAGCACTGAAATCTTTTCAGAATAAAACAATCCACCCTAAAAAAAAAAAAAAAAAAAAAAAAAAGTCCACGCTGTCTCACTTTGCCAAACTAGTTTTGCTCATTTAAAAAGCACATTTTTAAGCTGTCATCTGGAAATGTGTAAGAGATCTGAGTGGAATGAAAGACAGACTGGACCAGACCACTACACATGCTCGCAGGCCTAGGAGCCAGACTCGGGGATCAGTCCAGAGGGGGGGTTTGGGATTTACTCTGACTGAGCTGCAGCTCCACCTGGTATATGTGAGGGCCGAGTGTGTGGTGGGCAGGGCTGAGCTGGGCTGGAGCACCTAATGGTTTGGAGAGGAAGGAGGGCAGAAAAAAAATGATCTACTCCCCTAGCGAAGCTTGACAGCAAATTTCTAGGCAAATGGAGACTCGGAGGTGGACTGTATTAGCCAAATGACTTTGTAAGGATTTCCTCATCCTTGGAGCAGCAAAGTCAACAGCATCTCAGAACTATCAAAACCACTTAATCAGAACCCTCAGAAAATGCTCTACCATGGGGACCCAGGGGTAACATGTGGTAGCTGTTTCCCATCCCTGGGTACTAAGGTGGTTGGCAGGCATGGCAAGGTTTTTCCCCTAGTATACATCCCTACCCCAGGGCAGGAAGAAAAAGAAAATATGTAAACAATGGTCTCGCCCACTTTCCCCTGATCCTCAACCCTTCCCACCATGGTTAACTATGAAAACATCACAAAAAATAAAAAGATTTACTTTTAAAACTATTGTCATCTGGAGAGGTTGGTGGTTGGGAGGTGTCATCATGGAATATGTTAAACAAATTTACCTTATGTAGATAAAATTAATTTTAAAATTATCATTTTGTGTTATGCTCCCACGGCTAATCCTATGTTTATTTGCCATTGGCCTCTTCAAATACATCCTAAGCTAGAGCCTAGCATATTGCCTTAATGGCTAAATCCTCACCTATAAACATCAGGATCCCATATGGGTGCTGATTCACATCCCAGCTGCCCCATTAGCTTCCTGCTTCTGGCCTGGAAAAGCAGTTGCGGACGGTCCAAAGCCTTGGGACCTTGTGCCTGCACAGGGGATCCAGAAGGAGCTCCCAGCTACTGGCTTTGGATTGGTTCAACTCTGGGTATTGCTGCCATTCAGGTAGTGAACCAGGACATGGAGGATCTTTTTCTCTGTCTCTCTTTCATTCTGTAAATCTTATCCACCTTCCCAATGAAATTATAAGCTTTAACATAACCAATACAATAATTTATAATATCAGTTAATTAACTTAAAAAAAACATCCTGAGCCCAGCGCAATAGCCTAGTGGCAAAAACCTTGCTTTGTTTGTGCTGGGATCCCATATGAGCACCAGTTCATGTCCAAGCTGCTCCACTTCCCTTCCAGCTCCCTGCTTGTGGCCTGGGAAAGCAGTAGAGGATGGTCACGGAGCTGGGACCCTGAACCCATGTGGGAGTCCCAGAAGAGAAGCTCCTGGCTCCTGGCTTTGAATTGGCTCTGCACCAGCCATTGTGGTCACTTGGGGAGAGAAACAGCAGATGGAAGATCTTTCTGTCTCTCCTTCTCTCTGTATATCTGCCTTTCCAATAAAAATAAATAAATTTTGAAAAAAAAAAAAAAAACCAAACTTGAGAGTTCAAGAGTTCACCTATCTGTACGTATGCAAGTACTTCTAAACACCTATGGAAAACTGAACTGAAAAATAAAATCATGCAATTTTTTCATAATGTGTAATTCCCATCAAATTTCTGAAGATCCCTTGGACTTTGATTTCCCCTACAAGTCACTGATTGGTTAGAACCATTAGTGCCTTCTACTTGTGCTGCTGCAGATCCACATGTCAGCTCATCAAATATACAGGCTAGGAGAATCATAGGGCAAGAGGTTTGCCCACGTTCCCACCAATGGCTGCTACCAGCAAACTGATGAATCCAAAGTGCCTGGCACCAACAGGGCTCCATGAAGCACAACTAACACAGTAACAAGGGAATACCCATCAGTACTATCATGGCAACTTAGTGCATGTATTTGTGTGTAAAATTCTGTAGTGCCTCTTGCTTTAATGCAAGGTACATTTCAATCGCTGGCATAAAGACATGCATACCCAACACATAGCCAACATCATTTTAAGCACCTAGAATGACCCATCCATCACCCTGCCCTTTGGCCCTGTACGTGGAGTTTTTGGTTCAAACGCACACCTGAAAGATCTTTAAGCCAAAGCAGGTGGAGAAGCACCAAGGTGACTCAGTCTCCAACCTCCTGTCCTTCAGGTATTCAGGTTTTGCCTACTCCTTGTTATTTCCCCACCCACACGGAACAGCATTAGACTACCCCTGCGTGATGTACACACACACACACACACACAAATAATTATCAAATAGGAGGTGGGTGTGTGGCACAGAGGATAAAACATACCACGGAGAACACTGCATCCCTGGAGTGCCTGGGCTGAAGCCCTGGCTCTGCTAATATCAGCCCTGGGAGGTAGCAGGTGATAGATACCTCAAGCACATGTGTCCCTGCTGTCCAGGAGAAACCTGAGTTGAGTTTCTTGCTCCTGGCTTCAGCCAGGCCCATCCCAGCTGCTGTGGGTACATGGGGAGTGAATCAGTGGCTGGAAGCCCTTTCTATCAACCTCTTCTCTGTCTCTTCCCCATTCAAATATTTTAAAAAGTATTTGTTGAATTTATTTCTTTTTTATTATTTTATTTTGATAATCTTTGCATAGTTGATTAGGGGACAAAGGGTCAAGGGCTTCAGGAAAGTGGATAAAATCACTTTTTTTTTTTGCTAGATCTGGGGTAAGAGGATGAATTTATTTCTTTTTAAAATCAGTACATAAAATGTCTAAATGAAGTTGCACTGGTGATTGTGGCTCCCTAACAATACACATATTTTTGAAAAACATATCTTAAAATCTTTCATACGTAAAAGGGGGGAAAAACAGAAACAATTTTGAATTCCCATGTAGCCAGAAACTTAAAAAATACAACTACTTACTATTAATAAAAATTAAAAATATCAAAACAATTCAAATATGCCATACATGTAATTAAATTATTTTGCAAAATGTACTTGTTGGAAAAAAATTGTAATATACAATAGATATGTTCTTCATTCCGTGTGGATAGTAATTATTGTTCATTTCACATGTACCATTCCAAAGTTTCCCTCACTCCTATCACGTAAAAGACACATATACATATACACTCACCCCATACGAGAATTCATCCAAAAACTCTTAAAGCAATGGTTCTGACTTAACACTTTCACAGGAACATTGCTATTCACTTTATTACTGATAAAAAATATTTTGAAAACATAAACTTCACCACTACTGTGAGGAGTATGTAAACTTCACAGATGAGGAAATTGAGAAGACAGATCAACTACTGAACAGACATACTTACCCAGGGGCTGCACAATTAACAGCACCCCTGAACTAGAACTCCTTCCACACAATAAATGTGTTAGGTGACAGCAAAGATAAATCCAGTAAAAACAATCAAATTTAGAAGTCAAATAATGACTAAACAGTATTTACATGTCTAAGCTTACCTAAAGGCAGCAATTAGTGGTGCATAAATTGAATCTCCATCATAAACATATAAATGGTCCCAACTACATTCTGTAGCAAAATGATTAAAACGAAGTCTCATTATTCTGTTTGGCCTGAAAAGAATAAAACAAAATACCTTAAACTAATCATAATAATGGTCAAACTTTTGAGAAAAATGTAGTTTTTACAAATTCTCAGGAAAATAAATAATCAAACAACAGCACTCTTCCTTTTGTCAAATATTTATTTAGTATTTACTATGTGTAACAGACCACTAAACACACAATAGGAAGCAAAAAAATCCCGAAGTGGCCCGTGACCCCTGGATTTTAAAGGAGGCATTGGGTAACCAACTGAAACAAGCCCTTAGCCCTTGTGCCTTTGTTGTTCAAGCTAAGATTCCACACAGCATCGCTTCACAAACAAATCTGCCAATTCTTCCTACACCTCTACCTTTCCCTGGCTCTGCCCAACAAACCCCTGCTCCAGAGGAAACCATTTACCTGCTCTGACACCGATTACATCTAAAAAGAACTGAGCTGTACTTCAGAGAGTCACACGGCTCAGCACGTGGGTTCCTGTGCTGCTCTCTGGTCACCAACGGTCCGCAGTTCTAACACCAACTCTCCCTCTCTCCCCATCTCCTTCATTGTTTCTCTCAACGACTATTTCAAACCATCCAGTCCCACCTCCGTGTTAAAGATCAGTATACAAAACGCCTGAAATTTCCATTTTCCAAAGTAGATAAACATCCTTACTTGTGTTTTCATGTCTCAACTATTTAAAACCCTCCCTCTGATCTGTAACTTTTCACTCTCATTCACATTTGCTATAGATTTACAAATTTTATCAAACAAGAAAATAAAAATTTTGGTATTGACAGATATCAAAGAAATTTACAAAATATAAAGTCATAACACTCTTATCACTAAATTGCTTTAAGAATATAAAGGTTTTTCACATATTTTTGATAATGTGTAGAGGGCTAATAATTATTGCTATTAAATGAACTAATAAAATTCCTGGCTTCGATTTCTAATATGACAAACAGATATAAACCACTTAAATCAAAAAGTTATTTGGAATCTCAAGGTTTAAGATTATACAAAAGTCCAACACCAAAAAATTTGAAAGTTAGTACTTTAAAGGTCTGCCATGAATGGAAGGGAAAAAAGAAGTTTAGAAGAACACACTGGGTTCAGACCAGGCAGGAATTACTTGGACAGTAATATTAACTCTGATTTTCCTACTCATAAAAAAACAGACTTAGAAAAATTAGAGTGTTATAATTTCAAATGCTTTACACAAATATTAAGAATTTTAATTGTTTCTTAACTATTATAGTTGAAAATATAAAAATGAATGCTGGTTTCTCTTGCAGGGAAACACCGAGCTCCATCCTGAAAACAGTAAGAAGTTAGTCATTACTACTTACTGTCCTTCAATGAGCCACGTGCACTTTGTTTTATATTTATAATTTCCAGGTCCATCTGTTACAAACCCAGAAGATCCAGTTAATCTGTAATTTAAAACAGAAAAAAAAAAAGTAAGCTCCTTAGCATTTCATACATTAATATCTCATAAAAGAGTAATGGATATATCACAGCACACCAGTAGAAAATGACTGAACAGTTACATTATGATGAACCTATTTAAATGAAACTAAGAAGATACAAGAACATTAAAACCAACAGGTATAAACCAAAACACACATGAAAATGGCCAGAAGAACTTATCTATATAAAATAAGTTCATCTATAAAAGATAAAAGCAGAGTCTCACTTGTAACACACATTTACAGTAGCAACACTGAGAACAGCATGATGAACCTGCACACCAAGCCGCACACACACCAGAGCCCCGTGGCTGTGTGGCAGCTGCTGCTGAGACAGTGTCCACCATGCTCTCAAAAGCACGGACAGCCGCACCTTTTTCCCACGCTTGTACCAAGCCTGAAGTTTAACAATATCCTTAGGTCTCACTAACATGGCAAGCATATTCTGGTATCTCACTAGTATTTTCCTTGTTATTAACACTGATGATTGAATATCTTTCCATATGTTTTAGCCAAGGTGTCTCTTCAAATTAATATTTAGGAGCCAGCATTTGCTGCAATGGTTAAGTTGTGGCTTCGGATGCCTCCATCCACAACAGGTACAAGGCCTGACTCCATTTCTAACCTCAGCCACTTCACACTCTGGGAGGCAGCAGCTGCTAGCACAAGTACAGGGGGGAGTGTTTCTTTCACCCACATGGGAAACCTAGATTGAGTTCCAGGCTTCTGGCTTCAGATTGGTCCAGCCATTTGGGCATTTGGGGAAGTGAACCAATGGGTGAAAGATATGTCTGCTTCTCCCGCTTTCTCTCCCTTCTTCCTTCTCTCCTTTCAAATAAAATCATAATAAATTCTTAAAAGCAATGCCAGGAGCTCTTTTTATATTAAGTACATCTCCCATCTGTATATTAAATGTACTGTAAGTATAATTTCTCAAGTTTACCTTTTTCTTCATACTTTGTGTCTAGTATTTTTTTTTTTTTTGCTACACAGAAATGCTTAACGTTTAAGAAACATGCTGTTTCCTTCCTTGCTGCTATTTCCACATCATTTTTTCTCCCTCTCCCATCAACAATTTTCAGCCTCCCCAAAACAGATGATCCCTTCTGGTACTGCCTCCCTCAGTTTCTGAGTCATCCCCTGCATCCCTGTTCCTCCCTCTGAGTGCATCAGCAGATTATTCACTGTCTTCCAGCCATCTGCAGCAACATCCAAGATGGCCCCTCCAACAGCCAGTCTCTCCATTTCTTAGCCTCACCATCAGCAATCCTTTCCTCCACTCGACCCCAAGTGCTGCTCATCCGGGCCCTGCCACTACCATCAAATTCCTACTTTAAGCACCCTACTCCTTAACTACCATCTCAGCTCTACAGTTACTTTAGCACAACTCCCTCATCCTTTCCAACAAGTCTTCATCCCCACAGAGATTACCAATCCACTGAACCATATCACTGACCCCACCACCAACACATCTCACTGTCTGATTACCTAATCGGGATTCTAAGATATATTATAAGTGTATCCAGCAAATCCCTCTACTTCCTTGGTCTTTTCTCCTTCTGCACTATGAATGCCTGATACGAATGCCTCCATGCCTTATTCAATATCCATTCCATCCCCAAAAATGTTATTCTAAACCAATCATGTCTTTCTCTGCCCTTCGAGTTAAGAGTAGGGGATGAGAGGGAGTTGGGAAACACACCAGCATGTGGCATGATCGATTAAGGTGTCACGTCCTGTATCAGAGTACCAGCTCAAGTCCCAGCTTCCTTTTCTGATCTAGCTCCCTGCAAATATGCCTGAAAAGGCAGTAGAAGATGGCCCAAAAACTTGAGCCACTACCACCCACATGAAAAGACATGGATGAAGTTCCAGGCTCCTGGCTTTGTCCTGGTCCTTGCCCCAGTCATTCCAGCAATTTGAAGAGTGAACAGGCAAATGAGAGATTCTCCCTCTGTCACTGCCTTAAAATAAATAAAATGACAGGGATGGTACAATTGTTCATTGGCTAATTCTCTGCTTGCAAGCCCTGGCATACTATACGGGCACCACTTCCAATTCCATTTCCTGCTAATGATCAGGAAAAGCAGAAAATCATGGCCCAAGTCTTTGGGCCCCTGCACTCATGTGGGACACCAGAAAGAAGCTCCTAGTTTCTAGCTTCAGAACAGCTCATCTCCGGCCATCACAATCATTTGGGGAATGAACCAGCAGATGGAAGATCCCTCTCTCTCACTTTCACTCTGTAACTTTCCCTTTCAAATAAAAACAAATTTTTACAAAATAAATAAATAAAATGATAGGGCCCAGCGCAGTAACCTAGTGGCTAAAGTCCCTGACTTGTACACACCAGGATCCCATATGGGCCACGGTTTGTGTCCCAGCTGTTCCACTTCCCTTCTAGCTCCCTGCTTGCTTGTAGCCTGGGATAGTAGTAGAGAATGGCCCAAAGAGTTAGGATCCTGCACCTGTGTGGGAGACCTGGAGGAAGCTCCTGGCTCCTGGCTTCAGTTCGGCTCAGCTCTGGCCATTGTGGTCACTTAGGGAGTGAATCAATGGATAGAAGATCCCTCCCTTTCTGTCTCTCCTCTTTAATTCTCTTTTTAACATTGTTTCCATAGCTGGGCTGCGGTACTTCTCAGCATATGTTTGAGCCAGGTCTGGGGGCAGGATGGGCTGCATACACTGGGGTAATCTAGAGGCAGGACTGGAAACAGGCTAGGCTGGGTTGGAACACAACACCCACCAGTTCACATGAGGGCTGGAGCCAGGCAGGGCTAGGCTAGGCTTGGGTGCCACACTTGACAGAACTGGGCCTGGGGGTTGGACCTGTTTGATCAAGTTTGTAGCACCTGCTGGTGGATGCCAAGACTGCAGGCGGGCCATCTTAGTCTGGGTGGCAGCACTCACTGCTGCAGTCGAGAACTGGTACTTGGAGTGGGTATGATAGAGGAACTTGGGATATTCCCTTGCTGAGTCACTGTTTCCATTGGTGAGTGTAAGAGTTGACACTGGGGATGGGCCTTGTTCTGGTTGGCACGCACAAGAATTAAATATGAGGTCACCCCAGGGAAGGTTTCTTGGGGGACTCCCCAACTAGACTACTGGATGGAAAATCACAGGATGTGATTCATCCTTAGAGTGTGTGTATTGGAACTGGGCCTGCTTAGTTGCTGATGCTTGTGCAGTGGACAGCATGTCCAGATGCACATGGGGGACATGACGGCCAGTTCATCTAGACTGCCAGGGGATGTTGACAGCCTCATCAGAGGAAACAAAGCAGAAGAGGTTGGACAATTCTCCTGGGCAAGCTAGCAGTTGTATTCCTGGGTCTGTGTGTGCACCAATTATCAACCAGTAGACCTTGGAAAGATTTTTCTCACCCTGGAGCAAAATACCCAGTAACTTCTCAGAACAAAACCACTGAAGTAACACCCTTGGACTACTATTCCCCACATCAAGGTCTCTAAAGCATCAAAGGACTATCCCCCATCCATGAACTGTTGATTTAATTTGATAGCAATGAGCAGCCCCCTCATACTCCTCCCCTGTAGTCATAGGAAGAAAAAAACAAAACTAAAACATGTGTCCTACCTACCTTCCTCCAAATCTGACCCTTCCCACCCTAAGCAGAGGCCCACGTGGGCATGCATCCCTGTCAGCTATGTAAACAATGTTAAAAAGAGAATTAAAGAGGAGAGACAGAAAGAGAGATAGAAAGATCGTCTACCCTGGTTCACTAGCAATGGCCAAGGCCAGGCTAAAGCCAGGAGCCAGGAGCTTCTTGCAGGTCTTCCACATGAGTACCCAAACCCAAGCACTTGAACATCTTCCACTGTTTTCTTTTTGTTGTTGTTGTTTGCTTTTTGGTCCTCTGAGGTCAGTTTCTTTTTTTAAAAAGTCCTGTGCCAAGGGTGGACTGGGATTGGATGCACCGAGCCGGGCCAGACTCCAACACCCTCTGCTGTCCTGGAGTACCAGGGTAGAGTGGGATGGACTAGGCAAGGTCTCAACCCCTACTAAGCCAATTTGTGAGACATATGTGGGTATGGACAAGCCATGGCAGGGTGAAACATCCAACAGCGAGGACCAGTTTGGGTTAAAGGCCAGACAGGAAAAGCCACTGTTCCTGCTAGGACAGGAGGTGAATTGAGTAGGGCTGGCTCATGGACCCACTGGTATGCATGCAATCTGGCCTAGGGAGAGGTTCTGATGGAGGAGCCTGGGCAACTCCTCTGGCAGGACACAGACCCGGCAGGTAAGCGCAAGAAACATGATAGGAAACAGCCCAGAACAGGCCATGGAAAGTTACCCACTCGCATACATCTTGCATGGGTTGGGGAAAGACCAGGCTGAATCGTTCACATCATCCACTGGCAAATCCAAGCACCAGAACAGTGTGGGTCAAGCCGAGTTCGGTCACAACAAAAACTAGTGCACAATACGGAATGCCAAGGTGAGGTTGCCTGAACCGGATGTGGCCACAGCGCCCAACCAGCAAGCGTGAGAACCAGGAAGGGAGGGGGCAGAGCTGGCAGGGGAATAAGGGGTGGATCTTTTGCTGGACAGCTACTCCCACTATAGAGCATGAGCTGGGATGGGGGCAGACCAGACTAAGCAAGGCTACAACACCTTGCGCCTCATGTGGACTACATCAGGGAAAAGCCAGGCTAGGCTGGTTACTCCTACTGGTGCAAACAAAATTAGAGTGGGTGAAGGCTGTTTGAGCTTAGCCACAGCATCAGATGGCAGAAGCTGGCACTGGCTAGTTCTGTCAAGTCAAACCACAGAACTACCTGGACAGTGCATAATCCAAGAGTGGGAGAGGCCTAGGAAGGAAATAGTGGGCTCCTCCCTCTTGGGTTACCACTTCCACAGGAAGGCACGAAAACTAGGACAGGGGCTGGGGTGAAACGGGGTGTAGGACAGACTGGACTACTGCTACACATACTGGCAAACCAAGG